TTTCACTCTCTCTCCCTCTGCTCCTCTCCCCTGCTCATGCTTTCTCTATAAGTAAATAAATAGACAAGAAAATACATAAACAAACAACATAGTAAGTACTCAACCACACACTAATCAAGGACATAACATTTGGAGCGTGAACTCTGCATCACCTATCACCATGTTTTAGTCAAGGTACTGAGAACGTGTGTACCCCGGACGTTCAGGCTCCTTTCATCAGGCGTGATGCCTGCCTATTTGTTGAGGGCGGAGTCTCAGGAATCTGCAAACAGTTGAGCCAAGTAAGCACCCCTTCTACCACAAACATCAGCCCCAGCGGACTCAAGCAGATGCACACAGCTATAAAGATAAGCCATCAGGCCGACTGGGTTAGGATCGCTATCCCGCTGGCATCTCAGCCCAGAAAAAGCAGCAAACGTCTGAATCCCACCAGGACTCAGATGTGGAATCCAACCTTCCTTCCAAGCCACTGACATTCCTTTTATCACCACGGTGTGCCTTTAACCGGATCAAATCCCCCTCTCTTTTCTCCCGTTAACCTGCTGGTGGTGCCTCTTCTTCCTGCTTTCTCCTTTTCCATCTCTTCTGGCTCAGCCAGAGTAAAGCTCACGTTAACATTCCCAGGTCAGTGGGTGTCTTCTATGTGTTCTTTCTCCTCTGGGTGTGCCCAGCCGGCATCCCACCCGAACTCTTGTGAGAGCGGGCCCTCTCTCTGACACCTACCAGGACAGTATTCTGCAGTTCAGGCTTCAGACTGAAAACTGACATGGCTCCCACGCAGCCACCCAGCACCTTTCATCAAAGGAGAGGAACTGAGATAAGTCAGCGAGGGGGGTGTGGCATGGGTGAGAATCGTCTCAGGCAATCAATGATAAAATGTCCTTTCGCCTTTCCCAGTACACCCTGGGAGCAGATGCTTTGTGGGTCTATGACGTGTGCATCGCGCTATTCATTCATCTTACAAATATTTATTCACTTGTTTAGCCTGGGAGCCGGGTCTCTAGGCCCCTTTCCCGGATGCTGGACCGCATACAGCATCAGGGAAGACCAGTTAAGAACCCTACTATTTTAGGCGTTACGCTGTCTTGCATTCCATATTTCTACGAAAAAGTAAGGAGAGTGGTGCCTGGGTGGCTCAGGCGGTTAAGCATCTGACTCTTGATTTCAGCTCAGGTCATGATCTTGTGGTTCATGGGATCGAGCCCCGCGTCGGGCTCGGCGCTGACAGCACAGAGTCTGCTTGGGATTCTCTCTCCCTCTCTGCTCCTCCCCCACTCGCGCTCCTTCTCTCTCTCAAAATAAACAAACATTATAAAATAAATAAAAAGTAAGGAGGCTCCTGCCCTCTCAACCATCTGAGTGAGACTGGAATACCAACGGGTCCAGAGAAAGCAAACATATCAGAACGTATCCCGGTTTTGAAAGTGAGCCCTCCAGCGCAGACACTTGGCTACCAGGCTTGAGCACCCCGTGCACCACCTGCCTCCACATCACTGGAGATGTGCTCCGGCTCAGGTCCCAAACTGCCCACACAGCGGCAGAGACCCACCTCCCGGCCACAGACAGGAAGCAATGTGGGCACCATCTGAATGCTGCTCAGAGTGGTTTGGCCCATCTGTCTTTTGATGTTCCAAAATCTTCTTTGAAGCTAATAATGTGACAAAGTGGAAAGATCAAGGACTTTAGAGCCAGGCTGCCAGGGATGTATAGATAGGCTCTGTCCTCTCAGGCAGGCTACTTGGGTTCTGCCGAACCTGGCTTTATCTATCAAAGGAGCGTAAGACCACCAACGCTATAGACTTATTATTGGGATTAAAGATCACATGTGCAGAGTGCCTGGATGGTGCTCAAAATCACAGCTATTCTAACTAGCAGAATGCCAGGGTTTGAACTCAGGGACCCAGGATGATCTAAATGTAATCTCTTGAATGGATGCACTGGATGTTTCCCATTCCTAAAGATTTAAGGTGATGTACCCCAATGTTCATAGCAGCACTCTCAACAATAGCCAAAACATGGAAAGAACCTAAGTTTCCATCAACTGACGAATGGATCAAGAAGATGTGGTTCATCTATACAATGGAATACTACATGGCAATGAGAAAGAATGAAATCTGGCCATGTGTAGCAACATGGATGGAACCTGAGGGTGTTATGCTGAGCGAAATAAGTCAGGCAGAGAAGGACAAATATCATATGTTTGCACGTATAGGTGGATTAGGAGGAACTTAACGGAGGACCATGGAAGAGGAGGAGAAGGGGAAAATAGTTGGAGAGGGAGAGAGGCAAACCATGAGAGATTCTTGAATGCTGAGAACAAACTGAGGGCTGAGGGGGGTGGGAGGTAGGGAAAGGGAGGTGATGGGCATGGAGGAGGTCACTTGTGGGATGAGCACTGGGTGTTATATGGAAACCAACTTGACAATAAACTATTTAAGGAAGAAAAAAAAAAGCATAAAAAAAGATAAGGTGTAAAGAAGAAAATGACAGAGACACGCTCCTCCCACCACACACATACCTGCACGCATAAACACACACTTCCCTAAACCAAAACAAAATGATGGCAATCAAACTCAGAAGTGCCCTTTGCTCATGTACCTCCTTGAGCAAAACAAAAAAGCCTAGTTTCTCATCTCTGCTCCTGTGGACCCAGCATTTGCATTTCCAGCTGCTGAAGGTGAGCTTTCAGACCCCATCCTGGTTTTGAGGGGGCAAGATGGCAAAAAGTTTGGAAGAAGAAAGGGAGGGGGGCCTTGACACAGAAGGGAAAGGAAAAGCAGACGAAGAGAGTAAAGAATCAAAAGTCACATTACCTCCAGCCCTGGGAGTGTTTCTAGTGCCCAGTTTCCAGAGCAAGAACGTTCAGGAACAGCCTCTGTTAGGCGCTCTGTTCAGTTTCCAGAGCAAAAACATTCGACAGCCTCTGTTAGGTGCTCGGTTCTGCAGGCAGAAGAGCAACAGTGGCATCTTAAGGACAGCCAGATGAACTTGGCCAGGGAAGCAGAGGGTAATGACCGAGGAAGCCCTGCTTTCAGAACACACACTCCGCAGTGGAGACTTCTGCAGCCGGCTGGCCTTTTCTCTACCTGAGACGACAGACGTATGCACAGACACACCCCCAGGTCCCCCACCATAACCGTTGCCTCAACATGCCTCCCCTCTGCTGTTAGAGAGACCTCAGCCACACTCCCATGGAGTCAGTTCGGGTCTCTATGGCAAGCGACCAAAACTTGTTTTGGAAGGAATCAGGTGTATCAGGAAGACACCGGATCGCTCATGCAATCTCCGGGAAAGCTGGAGAACCAGGCTCAGGGGACAGACAGGAACGAAGGGAAGCGAAAACATTTAGAATCCAATCAAAGCATGCCTCTGGGCAATCAGTTCGGATGAGGGGCCTCACGGGGGTCGCCCACGGCTGCCACCAGTACCAGTACTGGCACCAGCAGCTGGGAGCCCCAGCTGGATGCAATGTCCCTGCTGCCCCTGGAGACTGGATGTTGCCAAGAGGTCCCTCTACCGCCCCCAGAATGAAATCTCCACTGTCCCTGCTGCCTCTTATCACGGGCTCTCCACTTAAAAGTCCCCAGCGGTTGTCCGATGACCCAATCCCAGGCCCCCAGGCTTACACCATAGCCTGTAAGGTGTCCCCGGAAAAGATCTTGCCCCCCAGAGGTGGCTTCCCCAAACACAGAAAAGACATCACACCGATGCTGGGCAGCCAACGTCAACAAAATGTCCCCTACAGAATGCAACTGACTGTGACTGGCCCACCACCACCGAGTGTTCTGAGTTTGTGCAAAGTCGCATGACAAAGCAGAACAGGCACTCGCCAGGACCTCAAAAACCTAGGCAAGATTCCATCCATTACTAGCTGCGCCTCGGAGGTGGGCACATAAGCTTCTCCGGGTTTTTGGTTATGCATGGAACAGAAACATCATCTCTACCTACTTTGCAAGGCTGATGTGTATATCAAACCAGTTCGTCAGTAAGTCCATTTCCCTCTGGGGGTTCGCAAGTTACCCAACTGTAAAATGAGAATATTTCCTACGTTGTAGGGCTATTGGCGAGGTATAAACACCAATGGTTTAATTTACAGATTGAAATCTTTGCCGTCTGGTATTTGCCTCAAAGTAAGGGAGGCAGAGGAAGTGGGGGGGGGGGGCGGAGCGGATACAGAGGCGGCTGACCTGGAGTTAGTAGGCGTAAAACCTGCCGGGTGGGCACATTACACCACCCTCTCTGCGTCAGTGTATGAACTTTTCCATAATAAATGTTTCTAAAAATTAAGGGGTTGGAATACTTAGAAGAAGCAGCCCCCCCCCCCACATCCCCAGCTCATCTCTGCCGAGTCAGCGTTAGGCGCCCCCGGCCCGCAGCCCCAGGCGCTGCGCCCCTTCCTCTCTGCCCACCACCCTCCGCCCCACGCGAGCGCCAGTGCATCCTTCGTGGCTCAACACCGGCTTGAAACGAAAACCAAAAGCCCCAAAGAACTGATCGACATCAAGAGAAAAACCGAAGTCCAACGAGCGGGACGCGCGCCTCAGAAGAGCCGGTCCGGAGCAACTGCGAAGTTACTCTCGCCGGCGAACACGAACGGATCCCAACTCCTCCACCCCGGGGGTCGCAACCGGCCAAGGGCCCCGTAAGAGAACGCCCGGTGCCCGCAGGCGGCGCAGGGACCCAAGTTGTCGAGTTCTGCCGGGACCCGGGGCGGCTGCGGCTTCCCAAGGGGCTCGGACGTCGGGAGCAGACGGTGCAGCCGCACGGCCGGGGCAGACGTCGGACGCGTGGAGGGCACACCTGCGCCCGAGGGATGACCCCACCCACCCGCCGCGTCTCCCTTTAAAAAGAGCCACCGCCCATCCCGGCCCCGCCCCTCGGCCCCCGGAGCGGCCCCTGACAAGAATGGCGGGCAGCGGGGCGGAAGCGCTTCCGCCCCCACCCAAGATGGCCGCCGGACAAGCCTCCGGGCGGAAGTGACCCGGCGGGAGGCTGACGGGGCCATCATGGCTGCCGCGGCCGCCTCCCCCGCGCTGAAGCGGCTGGATCTGCGCGACCCCGCGGCGCTTTTCGAGACACACGGAGCGGAGGAGATCCGCGGACTGGAGCGCCAGGTTCGGGCCGAGATCGAGCACAAGAAAGAGGAGCTGCGGCAAATGGTGGGAGAGCGGTACCGCGACCTGATCGAGGCGGCCGACACCATCGGCCAGATGCGCCGCTGCGCCGAGGGGCTGGTGGACGCCGTGAAGGCCACCGACCAGTACTGCGCCCGTCTCCGCGAGGCCGGCTCGGCCGCCCCCCTACCGCCGCGAGCCCCGCAGGTCAGCCCCGCACCCCCGGTCCCGCCCCCCGCCCTCCCCGGGGCCGCGGGCCAGTCCCCGCCGCCCGCGCGAGACTCACCTGCGGAGGGAAGAGCCTGCAGCCAATTTCTGGACTCCCTTCCTCGTGGGGGGAGCCCCGTGGTCCTGCCTGCGCGGCCTGCTGGTCGGTCGTTCAGCTCAGGAGCCGTCCCTGACTTCCGGGCCCAGATTCTCTCACCTTCCTCGTGGGTTCGCGGGGCTCTTCCCTTCCAGCTTTAGATGAAGACGCCAGGGGTCTCTTGCTCGACGCTTCCCCTCGTTCCCTGTATAACGTTTCCCGACATTATTCCTAGAACACATCTCTCACCGTCTCCTCAGGTCGTTCCTCGTCCCAGTCTTGACCCCATCCCACTCCCAAGGGTAACTTCCACGATCCCAAACAGCTATTCTAGCCTCTGTTGGAGTTGTTCCAGGACAGTGCCAGCCATCAAGCTCTCATCTTTCAGTAGCGGAACATTTTCTTTTCAGGGAAGTAAGGTCATTCTAATCGAGTTGCCCTAAGTGTCCCCCCCGCCCCCCCATGATAATGATTAGACCTGATGCGGAAGGATTCAGCCCTACATACAGCCTAATATTGGAGCAGCGTTTGGTGTTCCTAAGGAACGTTGACTTAGGGATGGATGACAAAGTGGAGGGAAGGGGTAGGGAGGGTCAGAAAAGTAAGCAAGGAATTTGTTCTTTTTTTTTTTTTTTAATTTATTTCTAGGGGAGAGAGAGAGAGAGAGACAGCGTGAGCAGGGGAGGGACAGAGAGAGAGGGAGTGACAGACTCAGAAACAGGCTCCAGGCTCTGAGCTGGCAGTCAGCACAGAGCCCGACGCGGGGCTCGAACCCACCAACCGCGAGATCATGACCTGAGCGAAAGTCGGACGCTTAACCGACTAAGCCCCGCAGGCGCCCCGCAAGGAATTTGTTCTTAACTACCTGGGGAGAAGGAACCTTATAGGGACATGGAAGACCCAGTTACAAAAGTACAGTTTGGCTCCAGCTGGGAACTTTTTGATACACCCTGTGTTTTTGAAGAATCCAGGTCAGTAAGCAGGGCTCACACAACAGAACCATAAAGATTGGAAATACTTGGCTAATTTTTGAAATGAGAGGCCTCATCCCTCTCCTCTGTTCATTTATACACGCCTCCTTTTAGTGGTCAGCCTTTCTTAGAACAGTCATGCTTCAGGTTTATTAAAAAGCTAACTTGTATCGTGCCTGACCTTAGAAATGTATTTATTTTTTAATAGTTATTTCTGATTTATTCTCAAACTCACAAATATTTGCGTGCCCTCTGTGTTGAAGGCACAAAGAAACAGAAGCCCCCCAAGCCCCCATTCCTGCTCTGATGGAATTTCCAAACTAGTCAAGGACTTAAATCCATGGAAAGATGATGAGAAAAATGTAAGTACTTCAGAGTAGCAACAGAAAACATTTTAGGATAATGTGTGATTGATTCCAAAATAATTACGTACATTTACCATAAGATTTCCGAAGGAAGTCACTTCAGGCTTGAGTCTTTCTCGGTAAGGAGGGGCTGTCATGATGGGTGAGATTTGGAGTATGGGCCTGGAGTATGAAAAGACCATTAAAAATAGGTAATCAATTTGATTAAAGCAGAGATTCTCAACCTTGGTGCTGCCAATATTTGGGGCTGGATCACTCATCGTTTCAGAGGCTTTCCTGTGCATTGTAGGATATTTATAAGCATCCCTGGCCTCAACCCACTGGACACCAGTCGTACCCCTCTTCTCCTTTCTGATAGTCAAAACTGTTTCCAGATGTTTCCGTAGAGGATGGAATCACTCCCCTCCCCTACGCATGAGAACCATCGGATTCAAGGGTCCCTGGAAGAAAGTACTTCCAAAGTACAGGAAATCTTTGACCACCCAGACCAAGTTACTAAACAGTGAGGAGCCTTTTAGAACTGAGGAAAGATAGGATCTAAACACCCTTTGAAGGAGACTAATCGGAAGGCAAAGGTAAAGGATAGCTCGGAGGCAGTAGAGAATGAGCACAGCACGAGTGAAATGGTTTTGGACTGATGTGAGTGTGTAAGGACCTGCATTAGAATCTTGGAAGTGGAACCTAGAAGCAGAGATCTGAGCAGAACCGTGGGAAGGACACACATCTCCTGGGAACGTGGGAGCGGAGTGGTGGCATGCTAAGCTACGCATGGGGGTCAGATGACAGATTTCGGGGAGGGCAGTGAATTTCATGTTGAACATACTGATTACGGAATGGCAGTGACGCTTAGCAGACAGCGGCAGAAGAGACGTCCCTGGGACACAGGAGAGTGGTGAGGACCGAGAAAGACGCCGTGGCGGTGCTCTGCTTAGAGGCGATGCTTCAGGGCAGAGGGTCCCGGAGAAGGACGGACTGGGGTGGGCAGCGGCGCGATGGCCGCAGGAGGCGGAGACGTCTGTCAAGCACTCAGAGAAGCAGGAGCAAACATGGGAAGGCAGAACATCAGAAAAGGGAAGGACGAGGCTCACTCGAACCGTGATCCACAGGGCTCCGTGCCGCGGAGGCATCTCGGGACTCGCTGATCACCAGATCGTGAGATGAGCAGGCTGAGGCCGCCTCTCAAGAGACCAGGCAGAGCCACACCCAGCTGGGAGGAAAAGCCAGTGCGACGGGCTCCAGTGATTCTGCCACCCCAGACTCAGATGCCTCACCACGTGGCATCGAGCTTAACAAGAGCTTGTGCCCTGGCAGTCCCCTCCCCCCGCGCCCCACCTCCCAATGCCAACCTCCCCCCGCCCCCCACCTGCCAACGCCAACCTTGCTCTTCTGACTTGGTTTCTGCGCCTTTCCCTGCAGCCCCAGCAGCCATCTCAGGAGAAGTTCTACAGCATGGCTGCCCAGATCAAGCTACTCTTGGAAATTCCCGAGAAGATCTGGAGCTCCATGGAGGCCGCCCGGTACCTCCATGCCACGCAGCTGTACCTGCTCTGCTGTCACCTCCACAGCCTGCTCCAGCTGGATCCCTCTGGGTCCCGATACAGCCCCGTCCTCCTGCGGTTCCCCATACTCATCCGGCAGGTGGCGGCGGCCAGCCACTTCCGGTAAGTGGAGCCGGGTCGCCGCCCTGCTCTGGGGAGGGCCATGCTTCACTGATGCCGGTTCGCGGAACATATGCCAAGGTTCTTCCTCCCAAGGTGTCAGGAATTCCCCGTTGACCTGGGTCCTCATCTCTCTAGGTCGACTATTCTGCACGAAAGCAAGCAGCTACTCAGATGCCAAGCCGTGTCTGACCAGGCTGTAGCCGAGGCGCTGTGCTCCATCATGCTCTTGGAAGAGAGTTCTCCTCGCCAAGCCCTCGCTGACTTCCTGTTGGCCCGAAAGGCAGCCATTCAGAAGCTTCTCAACCAGCCGCACCACGGTGGGTCTGGCTTCTTTCCAAAATGTGGCCCTCAGACAACGAGATGGAGAAGGATGAGCTCAGGGAGAGCAGAGCATCCAGGGTGTCCCTGTGTCTAATTTGACTGCAGGAGCTGGTTTACACGAGTTTGGTTTCTTCTCGCAGGTACTGGCATCAAGACTCAGATCTGCTCATTAGTGGAGCTGCTGGCCACCACCCTGAACCAAGCACATGCTCTTTTCTACACTTTGTCAGAAGGGCAGCTGCTAGACCCATCCCTGCCCTGCGGCCTGCTCTTCTCAACTCTGGCGACCGTCACAGGCCAGCCTCCCACTGGTGAGCCATCAGCCAGCCTGTCTCATTTTCTGGTAATTCGGCTGCTGCCTGCTGAGCTAGGTCTACCCTCTGCCTGTGCCTGCGGGGCTGAGCTCTGGGGGTGCAGCAGCGCACGGGACAAATGCGGGCCACACATTCGTGGAGGTCACACTCTAGCGGTTGAGGCGGATACTGAACTCACAGATACACACGCATCTATTGCATGGCCACATTGACCACTGTCATGAAGGCAAAGTACAAGTTGACTTGGGAGGGACCTCACCGATGACGCTTTCCTTGGAGAATGATATTTAGACTAAAATCTGAAAGCTCAGTAAGCATTAGTCAGGTGAGGGAGGCAAGGAAGTGTTCCAGGCAAAGGGGATGGGATGTGCAAAGGTCCTGAGGCAAGGGAGATATGAGGATAGTTGAGGGACTAAAAGCAAGCGGGCAAGGCTAAGGGGTGGGTATTGGGTGGGTGATGAAGAGCCGCATGGGAAGAGAAGTGGCCAGTCTGTCAGAAGTGACCAGATAATGCAGAGCTGTGTGGACCAGGCTGCGGAGTTTGGACTTGATCCAGAGAACAATGGAGAGCCTTCTAGGACCTTCCAGGCTTGTTCCTCCTTCTGTTATATGTTCTCAAGCATCCTGTGCTTTTATTTGATAGCATTTATTCTAATTGGAATTAAGTGCATTTGGCTTGCATGTGGCAGTGGCTCTTCATGGGGTCTGGAGTGGGCGTGGAGAGCTCACCCGGGCGGCTGTCCTCAGGACCTACGTGGCAGGCGGTGGGGGCTAACCGGACAACTTGGACATCTGTTTAGCAGGGGGGTTGGTAGATTGGCGGTGGAGGGTGTGGAAAAGAGGTATCCGAGTTTACAGGAAAAGGATCTGGCTTGAAAGGGCTGATGATGAGTTCTCTCTTGAAAATATTGCTTTGGAGACCATCGAGCCCTTGGGATGGGAGTGTGGAGTGGGCGGGCGGCTGTGGGTCCAGAGCAGAGCAGGAAGAGGTCTGGCCAGAGACACACATCTGTGCCTGTGGCTGCTGCGTGAGGCCGTGGGGATGGGTGACATCAGCAGCAGGAAGAGCGGATGACAGAGGACTGTGCCTCAGGGGACTCCAGAACTCAGAGGTCCGGCGGAGGAGACACAGCCAAAGGCAGAAGGGAAACAAACAAGAAAGTGGGGACAGCCCTCTGGTCAATTTCAGAGAAACATGTATTACGTAGTCTCTTCTTGGGCTTGTTTTATCTCCCAGCTAGGGGGCCACTCCCTTCTGCCTCGGCTTCCCTCTACGTGCTTCCATGTCGTCCTCTTCCCCCCCCCCCCCCCCCCCCCCCCCCCCCCCCCCCCCCCCCCCCCCCCCCCCCGTGCAAAGAGTATGGGCCAATTCGTCAAGGCTTTGGAGAACAAGGAGAAGGGACCTTAGAAGGACCCTGTGTCTCCAGCTCCGGAGGGCATTTGTGCACAGAGTACGGTGACGGGGCCTCCCAGAGTCGCCCCGCAGATGCCGATGTCCCTCTCGAGAGGTCACCGCTAAGGAGCTACAAGTCACTCGTCGGGACGAGTGGTCTTCGATTCCTAGCTCTTTCAGGTCGCTCGGAGGATAGCGAGGAAAGGCAAACGTCGTCTTTGGTGACGATGTAAGTTCCACCTCGAGGACGGGGAGGGCCGCACAGCGCTCAGTACTGCTTCTTCCCCCGGTCCCGCTCTACCCTTTGCTCTCTGCCCTTCGCCTTCTCAACCAACATGGCGCCCGTATCGGCGGGAAGCTGCCAGCTCCCTGCGGGACGTACATTCTGTACTTTCCTTTCCCCCGTTTCAGGGGCCGGGCCTGACCTGCCCCGCGGAAGACGAGATGATTTTTGGAAGTTCCTTCTAGGTCCATTTTGTAATATGCCTTCCAAAGGATGGCCCCGATGACTTGTTGCTTGGCCTCCTTTAGGGAAGGGCGCCGGCGTCCTGCAGGAGGAGGTAGCGCTGTGCGGCTGGTCCCGACACCTGCCACCATCTGTCGTCGGCTTCCAGCCCTCTCTCCGAACCCTGGCGCAGCCCATCAGCCAGGAGTACCTGAAGGACACACTGCAGAAGTGGATCCACATGTAAGTAGCCAGAACTTTCCCGAGGCTGGCAGGAACCACTCACGTGGCCACAGGAGGGCCCGTGAGGCCACTGAGGAACGCAGGGGAGGCCGGATCTTCTGGAGGATGCTCTGCGTGCTGTCCACTGGGTCACACCAGTCACTCACCCCGCCACCTGTCACTGCCTTTGGGGAGGGTCAGCCCCCGCTGTGGGAGAACCAAGGAATTCACCTTTCAGAATATTACCTACAGGGTGTTAAATTCTCTTCGTGTAACAGTCCTGCCCCTCCTAAGCTTGAATTCAGTGCAGCGGTTTCTAAGGCCATTGTGGTGAGCTGTACACTTCCTTCCGGATAGATTGCCCAGGGAGGCAAGGCTAGGCCCCAGCCCCCATCTAGCCAGAAATGCGGTCTTGAATGTAGATTTCTAAGTACTCTGAGATATATATTTATACGTGGGGACCCAGGTAAGAGGTTTTCAAATGGAGTCCTCTTTTTTTAAGAACGGTGTGAAAACCGTGACTCTAATAAAGCCCAAGACAAAGGATTCCGTTGCAGGTGCAATGAAGACATTAGAAACGGGATCACCAACCTGCTCTTGTACGTGAAGAGCATGAAGGGTCTCGCGGGGGTCCGGGATGCCATGTGGGAACTGCTGACCAATGAGGCCACCAGCCACAGCTGGGACATCATATGTCAGCGGCTTCTGGAGAAGCCGCTCTTGTTCTGGGAGGACCTGATGCAGCAGTTGTTCCTTGAGCGGCTACAGGTGAGGAGATCACACGGTCCAGTTGCCTTCCGGCCCATCCTGAGTGGCCTTCTGTCCCTCCCCGAGTCTGTTCTCTCTCTGCTGACTGAGTCAGGGGTGGCTCTTCTGGATCACGAACCACAGAAAAGAGCAGAGATCCAGACTCTGGTACAGAAAGAGACGAGGCCTCTGGCAGGGGCGGGGGGGAATTGGGGGCATGTCAGTGGCCATCAGTAGTGACCCTGTCCTCTGCCACCACCATGTGATCTCTCTGAGCATGCCGGAGAGCGTGCAGAGTGCCGGGATGGGGTCCCAGCTGGTGCTGTGGCTTTGAGATCTTCTGCCAGGGGTCGCGGCTGGAACGCTTCTCTCGCTCTCTTTCAGACTCTGACAAAAGAAGGCTTTGACTCCATCTCCGCCGGCTGCAAGGAGCTCCTCCTTTCAGCCCTGCGGGAGCTCGAGAGCAACGCCAGCAGCTCCGCTCCAAATAAGCACATCCACCTGGAGCACAACATGCCGCTCTTCCTCTGGTCCGAGAGTCCCCAGGACCTGCCTCCCGACGCCGCCTGGGTCAGCGTGGCGCACCGGGGGCAGTGTGCCGGCAGTGGGCTCTCCATGAAAGCGCTGGCCGTTAGCCCCTGCGTCCAGGACTTCTGCTCTGCCCTGGACTCTAAGCTGCAGGTTCAGCTGGATGACCTCCTGGCTTACCTTCCCCGTGCGGACCCGTCGCTGCCCAAGGACGTCTCCCCCGCGCAGGCCAAGGGCTGCGCCTTCGACAGGTACGCGGACGCCGGCACCGTGCGGGAGCTGCTGCAGGCCCAGTCCGTGGCCTGCGTCGCGCGCGTCACAGACTGCATCGGGGCCGAGCTGCGCAGGCTCGAGCAGGTGGTGCAGGGGCAGCAGGACGTCCTCAACAGTGTCCAGCTGCACGCGGTCCTTTTCATGGCCAGACTCTGCCAGTCGCTGGGAGAGCTGTGTCCCCATCTGAAGCAGTGCATCGTGGGGAAGTCCAGGAGCTCCGAGAAACCAGCGAGGGACCCCAAGGCTCTGAAAAAGCAGGGAAAGGGGAGAACCCAGGAAGTACTCCCCACGCAGGCCAAGTGGCAGGAAGTCACGGAGCTCCTCCTGCAGCAGAGCGTGACAGGCTACCGCGTGTGGAGCTCGGCGGTTGTGAAGGTGAGTGGCCGGCCCGTGGGTGTGTTCTTCCCGTGCTCAGCGGTGGCCCCGGGGGCGCCTCCCTTCTGTCAGCTCCAGGCTGGCCAGCCTCAGCGAGCGCTGTTCACGGTGAGGGAATAACAATTCTTATTTCATGCAGTTACTGTTACTTCCCTGTGATAGCGAGGTGGCTCGAGTGGGAACAGTTTTCCGCTCACGTTCTTAGTCCAGATTTTAGAGACAGAAACACTGGCTTTTTGTCCTGCTGCCTGATAAGAATGAAAGAAAGATCTCTCTTGGCGAGGGTCTGTATTTCCTGCTCTTCAACCTGAGTATCATATTCCCTGCGGTCTCTGCTGGCACCGTAAGGGGCGGCCCCCGACATCTGTAAGGCAGTTACAACAGAGCACCGGTGACTGGCGTAGGGAGTTAGCCCGAGAAGAGGCACGTTTCCACTCAGCACCGCACACATGATCTAAGCACAAGCTGGTCTCAAGATTATCCTGGTGGCTTGAAACACTCTATAGAGGAGCCCAGTGGCCTACTGGATATTTGCTTTTATTACCAGGTTTTGGCTCATGGGTTCACCCAGTCGTTGCTTCTAGACGATGCCGGCTCCATCCTGGCCACAGCCACCAGCTGGGAGGAGCTAGACATCCAGGAGGAAGCAGAGTCTGGTGGCAATGTCACGTCCACCATCCGACTCCCTACACAGGTAAGCGGGCGCCCCCATTAGCGCCCCCATGGCCTGGACAGGACCACACAGCCCACTCTGCGGAGAGAGGAGAGATCAGGAAGTCAGCCAACCTACGGCTTCCGAGGAAGAGCCGGAAGTAGTATTTGTAACTTTCCGTCACGGGGCTGAGTGGACTGACGCCCAAGTAGGTAGCGGCCTGTTCGAGAAGTCAGTTAGTTAATGGTCCTTTCCTTGTGTGTCCCGGGCTCTGCTCATCAGATGACTGTTTACCCTAAAGTGAAAACAGCGTAAAGCAAAGTGCCACCTGCCGGGCCAAGCCCCTGACCACCGTGGGAATGGCAGCAATTGTCACCTGTATCTGTTATCTGGCCTGCTGTGAGGGGGGCTGGTAGAGGGTCAAGGTCCAGGCACATGAGCCTAGTAAGGATAAACAGACCCAATTTTACCAATTAGCACAACTTGGTGACTCACCGTCCCTTTGTTCTTTTAGCCGTCCTGGTACGTGCAGTCCTTCCTCTTTAGCCTCTGCCAGGAAATTAACCGGGTTGGAGGCCACGCTTTGCCAAAAGTGACCCAGCAGGAGATACTGAAAAGCTGTATTGTCCACGTGGTGGCTGCCTACGAGAAGCTTTCAGAAGAGAAACAGGTGAAGATCGGTGTTTGCATTTTTTCCCACTAAAACCAGAAATAAAAGCCTTAGCTTTTTCTTGGGTGTGGGCCGTTCCCATCACGGATTCCAAGTGTTTACGCGCAGTGCAGGTGGCCTCAGCGGTAGTGGCTTCCGCGTGTGAGTTCCTCACACCCCTTCTCAGGGAGCGAGCTGGTGTTCACGCAAAGGCAGTTCAGTGGGAAAGAAAGCGTGGGTTCCGCACCCAGCACCGCCGAGTACACGCTGTGGCTCGGGGCAGCTTGTGACGCCTATTCCGTGCTCCACGGTCAAGTGCGGGCACTCCGAGAACTGCTTGGGAGCGGGGCGGGGGACCGTGCCCGGCGCAGGTGTGGCACACAGGCACTGGCCTCCGCCTGTCACCCAGCCCTCCGCCCCCCTCCCCTCCTCCAAAGCGCTCTGCCCTTGGCGGATGTTCCGGCTCCATTAGTGACATTTCAAAGGCAGGACCAGCTCCTCACCTGGGAAAGAATTCAGCGAAGTTTCTCTCCTGGGGCTCCTCAAAATACCTCTCCTTCACGCTAGGAGCTCTTCGCCCTTTTAAAGGGCGGTCTACAGCCCCCAGGTCCTTTCAGGTTTTTAGTTTGGTTTAAGACCAACTCTCAAACATAACTGTTCTTTCTGTTGCCGTTGTGAGATTGAACTGCCTTTATGAATATAAAAGCGGCTGCTTCTGGAATTAGCTGTAACTCAACCAGAACATGAGGCTGTTTATCTTGCTCATATCACAAGCCTCCCTTAACAGGTGGGGCCGGGAAATTCACTTACAGAAAGACGGTGCGTTCCCCATGACCCAGAATCGGGCCCTGCAGCTGCTGTATGATCTGCGCTATCTCAGCCTCGTCCTGACGGCCAGGGGTGAGGAGAAGAGCGGCCGCGCCAAGCAGGACTCCAGGTAGGCTCCTGCCACTGGCTCTCCCAAGCGCACACAGCCCCCGTTCCAGAAAGCCACCAAGGAGCGTCCTCTCTGTGTGCCATGTGCATTAGTTGTGTTTGTCTTGAACAGGAAGTGCTCGTATTGCCAGCTAGGTAGACAAGGGCCACCTGCCGGGTAAATGCCATGGTCGAGTGGGGTAGGTGGAATCTCATTCCTCCCTCTTTTGAGTCCGCCAACCAGCTCTTGGGTAGAACCCGAGCCTGCGGCGCTGCCCCCACCAGTGTGAGGAGGGACTGGACCTCACGTACACATCTCAGTGGGTTGAAGCCCTTGGGATTCCGGAAGGACCGTGGGCATGACGGGCGGTACCAAGCCAGCAATTATGACTGCATCCAAATACAGGGTTTCTTTAGCATCGAACTGCCCTCAGGTGAGTTTTGGACCTAGGAAATGTGGCGAAGAAAATCATAAATCTTTTTTTTCAGAATTGGGAAAGTGACCGACTACCTGGAAACACTCATTGACCCGTTTGACCTGGATGTTTTCACACCGCACCTCAACAGCAACCTCACCCGGCTGGTGCAGCGAACTTCCGTAAGTCCCGGGAGAGGCGGGCAGGCTCCGGCTCCCATGCAAACCCGCTCCTGCACTTACCACCCCAGGAGGTGGTGCTGGGCGGGGGAGGGGGGTGCCAAGCCGCTCAGTTCAGTTGTAAGGGCCGGAAGAGGATTAGGTAAAATCTCACCGCTGAGGCAACCACCATTGGCCCCTGCAGGTGCAGATCAGGATTATTAACGTTTTATTAAGCTCAGGGCCTCAGGAAGAGGAATGACTCTGAGGTTCTGACCCGTGGGCAGTGAAAAAGGGAATTCTGAAGCATTAACACACTCAAAAGAACATTCCCCAACAGGACGGATAGAAACGAAGTAGAGCTTGATTACTAGCCAGGGAAGGGGTTTTTCTCTTTTCAACCGAACAGTAAAAAACCCAGTGTGTCTCGTCTGCCAGGTCCTATTTGGGTTGGTAACTGGTACAGACAATCAGTTCACGCCCAGGAGCAACACATTCAACTCCCAAGAACCCCATAACATACTGCCCTTGGCGTCGAGTCAGATCAGGTAATGGTTCTAAGATGCTTTTGCCGGGCCCCGAAGCTTCCCGTTCACGCCACTGAAATTCCTTCGTCCTGTCTCCGAGGTTCGGACTTCTCCCACTGAGCATGACAAGCACCCGGAAGGCCAAACCAACCGGCAGAAGCGTGGAAACAAAGCCCCAGGTGAGTGCGGGAGCAAGGGGTTCACGTGCGTCCTGTCCCCTCCTCCCACCAGACCACCCAATCAGCTCCCCTTAAAGAATCGATAAAGAACCGAAGGACAAAATGCACTAATGCTGCTTTTAATGGCGGCGCAATATAGAAGTACAAGGTTTCACTAGCTTGAGCTGATAGGAGTTTGAGAAGATGCCCATTTACACTGTCAAGTAGCCTCCTAATAGAAACGTCCTCTCAGGCGGCCAAGGCTGTAGACGTTACTTCTGGTAGGGGTGCGGGTTCCCTGCTAACCCAGCGCTAGGTTGTACTTATTTGGAAAAGAGACATTTTGTCCCGGTGGTGGTTTCACCTTCCACTTCTTTCAGTTGGGTGGGAAATAAAAGGGAATTTGCTTCCTTGAGTCTGACGGTTTCTTGTTACCACACGTTCTGGTGCAGTAGACGGCCATCCGCTAAGCCCGCAGGAGGCCCCCTGGGTATTTGAGTTGTGCTGTGTGCACGTGTTTGAGCGCAAGCAGCCTGTCTTCTCACAGCCTTTAGTTCTGTTTGCTTCCTTGTTAGACGGAGCGTTAGCAATGCGTCCTTTCCAGCCTCCCTGCCGGCAAACCCACTAAGACCCAAGTCCTCATCAGATACCCGGTTGTCAAACGTGGGCGAGGGCAGTGACGAGAGCGAGTCCCTGCACAGACCGTCCCCTCCACAAGCACGGGCCTGTGCCCGAGCCTCCCCCACAACTCGGAATTCCCCTTCTAGTAACTGACCTAGACGTTCTGTCCGAAGGAGAGGAACCGACCAGGGAAAGGAGGTGCATGTTTCCCCTTTTCCCAGGAGAGTCCTTCCCTGCAGGTGTTAGTTCTGCCACGTAATAAAACCGCACTGTGTCCCCTGTAGCCTCTGCAGATCTTGACAAACAGCAAAGGCCCCTTCCTGGAGCGCTCGTGCTTCTCAGGTCTGCTCGCGTGTGCTGTGTGGGCTCCGAGTGCAGTGGAGGGGGGTCAGGCAGGCGGGTCTGGGGAGACTCTAAGGCACTTTCCTCTATACGCGTGGCAGGTTGGCCCCCCGGCCCTCTCCCGAGCAGATGACCCAACGCACCCTGGCTCCTTGTTCAGACAGCTGGTCAGTGAGGAGGAAGACACGTCTACACCTTCATTATTCAAGCTAGGCTGGCTCTCTAGTATGGCTAAATAACGGGGGAGCATATCCATCTCTCTCTAAATAAATACTAAGTCACTTCTTCTAATGGTGCCTCTGCTCATTTATTTCTAAGCCACACCAGTCTTTCCAGTTTCGGCGGTGGAATGTGGTCCCCGAGTTACTGTTAGGGGTTACTTTAAGCCTAAAGTGAAGCCTTGTCCCACGGTGTCACGATACTTGTGACATCCGACAGCAGTTCAGAGAGCTTACATCTGGTCAGCATTCAGCGGCGCCTCCCAGCGAGGTGACAGAAGCTGCTGACAGAACGAGTCTGTGAGTACGACACAGGTCATTCGTTACGTACTTCTCGGCTGCCAGACCCGTGCAGTGTGTCCTACGAAGTCTGAGATGGAGGCTTTGGAGGAGTAACGGTAGCAGAAGTGATCTGGGCACACGAGGCTGAAAGAGACTCTCTCCAGAGATGCAAACACATAACAAAGAGCAAAGACGGGTATTAGCAAGGGTGCTTCACCTCCGCAGTCCAGCTTGGATCTGACTGCTCTCCTGCCAGAAAGGACGGAGTACTTTCAACAGGACATCTACGTACTAAGAGGTAGTATGGCCGTTAATTTCAGTGCAAGACTGAATCAAGCTTTCTAAATTTTGGAAAAAACACTTAGGGTTTTTTCATGGAAACTAGATACTCTTCGCTGATTTATTGAATTTAAAAAAGACCCCGCATTGTTAAAAGGCCCTTTTACATCAAGTAGAATTTCTAATTGACAGATTTGGAAACCAATCTGCACTGGACAAACTATGGATTCAACACGCAGATGAGATTTCCTCATACCATTACCCGACATGGATGTGATACCCACCCTCAAAAGAATCCTATAAAAAATCGCTTCGAAGCCCCTTTGAAATTGCAATAGTGCAGCAAAACCACGAGTAAACAACTGCCTGTTAACCTGTTCCTTCAAATACAGACTGAAAAGCCAACAGGCATACTTTTGTGCAATTTTTTAAAACATCGGAAGTTGAAATATCAAATCTGCACAGCACTGTCCCTTCACAGAAGGCAAGAAACCGCCGGCACATCATGTCGGAGGCCGTCCTCGGTGCTGTAGGCTCTGGAAGTGGGCCTCCCTCAGGGTCTGGTTGATGTGGAAGTAAGGGCCTTGGCACAGCGCAGACTGCTCGGGGACGGGCTGGGGGGTGTTCGGGCCGGAGCCGGCGCCCACGAGGCTCAAGCCGCTCTCGGGCCCGCTCGCCCTGTCCGGGCTGTGGACGCTGCCGCCGCTGCTGCTGCCGCCGCTGTCGCTGCTTGAAGACTGGAAGGAGGAAGAAACAGGACCACCATTAGGCTGTTGGGTTTCTGCAGAAAGTCCCCGCGGTGTAGCTTAGTGCTCTACTTAAGACCATTCTTGCTATTAGGTTTGAGGAGCGCCAACATCGACAGGGGGCTTTACAGCTTCACAGGGTACAGCTGCCTAAGAGATCTCGTTCTTTCCTCCCAGCTACCCTGTGAGGCTGAGTGCAGGGTCCAGATTCAAGTGCAGGCCTTCTGACCGCAAACCCCTTCAACTACACCTTAATTCCTTTATACGCCTTCTCTACCTGCAAATTTTTTCGTTCATTCCGATAATGTCCAATCATCAAAGGAGGAAGTTCGCGGCCTCCGATACTTTCTAGGTACTGGGTATTTATGCCCTGTACCAGTATATAGATAAACTGGTATATCTCTACTGGTGTATATAGATACACACACATATATATAGACGTAGATATATACCAGTATATCTATACCCTATACTGGTACGGGCTATAAATATCGCTAACAAATAAATGGATTCTGGGCACAAGTCTCAAAATATCTGACACTTTCGTGGTTATCATCTCATGGACATAAAATGGTATTCTGTGAATGCAGAACACATATCCTGAAAGACTACAACATACTTCTAAGTTACAGTAGCATTTTTGCAGCTGGAGATGTGTGTGGGCCCATGTGCACAAGTGTGCCTAATTTTTTTTAATGTAGCGAGCATGACTTGATGTCTTAGTTGTCTTGAAGCAGCTACTCAGAGATCCCTGAGAGCTAGGGCTCTCAAAAGGGAAGGCAATGGAAAGAATCCATTTCAAAATTCTGGAATTTTACAATTTAAATGCTGCATTTCAAATAAATGACTAGCGGTACGCTTCCTGCATTCACAACTCAACACGAAACCATACTGAAAAGAAGCGATGCATGACAAAGGCAGAATTCTAATAACTAATGATCTAGGGTATGCTTTTCTTTAACTTAGCCGTTTGATACATCTAACTCATGGTCCCTTACACAAAGTCATTGGTTTCGAAAAGTCTGCATACAGCCATGTAAAATCTACACCTAAGAAAAAAAGACTGGAAAAAAACTGGCCATGGTAGTTATATTAGAACGGAGGGATTACAGTTGCTTATTTTCTTTCCCCCGCTGTACTATCACATTCTTGCAATGTGGTTATTTTCATTATAAAAATAAATGTATAAATAATGCTTCCAGACAGAACTTTAAAAGTGACTTTCAAAATACTACTTTATCCATTTTTGATCGAAAGTTACACCTAACAGTAGGTACGTGAACGTATCTGAAAACAGCAAAGAAAGCAATGTCCATGAAAGACCATTAATAATGCTTAAAGCGAGAATCATCATGGGCCGTAAGTCATGTGGCGCTACTTCGCAGCTCATGTATCCCACTGCCCACAGATAGTAAAAGACAAGCCATCTGTCTGTCTACAGAAAACAAATCTGAAAGCATTATAAAATGGGCTGAACAGAGTCAGAGGGTACCGGGAGCAGCAGCGGTTAAATTTACTTAAAGACTTCAGAATTCAAATACAATTCAAAACCAAAACTTGTTTCCTTACATTAAGGCCTCTCCTAACCTAGAGCAGAGCAGCCCATGCTAGTGGCCCCTGTGGCCCCAGTTAGGTCACGGGTATTTAACGAGTCAGCTACTACACTAAATAAGAAACCCACCGCGCAGAACACTTTGTTTCCTCTTAGTCTGTTTTCTTTACTGTTTTTCGTTACAGGTACTGTCTGAAAATTAAGGCAAGAACTAGAATCAGTTTGTAGTAAGTCAAGTTTCCATCTCAAATTTTATTTCACACTCTTATAGCAAAGGTGACACTATTCTGAGAAACAGTAAAAGGTCTTTAAAATGGGTCACACAAAATACTGAAAAAGGGTGGGAAGACAAACATACCTGTGATTTCTAGACCCTTTTAAAAACCGTGTGTGAAGACATGGCTTATACCACCTTTTGGGGGGTTTTTGTGTTTATTTTTGAGAGAGCGAGACAGAACATGAGTGGGGGAGGGGCAGAGGGTGAGGGACACACCGAATCTGAAGCCGGCTCCGGGCTCTGAGCTGGCTGTCAGCCCAGAGCCCGATGTGGGGCTCGAACCCACGAACCATGAGATCATGACCTGAGCCAAAGTCAGACGCTTAACCGACTGAGCCACCTGGTGCCCCTGGTCTACACCAACGCTATAAAGACAGGTACGCAAACGTTTAGTGTGGCCTTGTTTATAACAGCTAGAAGGTGAAAACCACCTGCGGCCACGTCGATCCTACCGTCGCGCTGCTGTGGCAAGGGGGACCTGGCGGCAGGTGCTGGGGGACGAGGAGAGGCCCCCTGAAGTGAGCGGTGTCTGCACTGGCCTGGAAGCGGGGCGGGGTTTGGCGAGCAGGCCGCGGCGCACTGGGAGCACGAGACAAGCAAAATCAGAAGAAAGGAGTGTTCGGGGGCAAAGCCAAGACGGCGGTGGGGCTGGGCCACTCGGGCACATTCGGCCGGACGAGCAGCCGCCAGAGGTTACGGCGGGAAGGTCCCGTGCCCTGAGGTCTGTGCCTCATTCTGCCCCGATCTGACTCCGGAGTGAGGACGCCGCGTCAAGCAGGAGACGTGCGGCAATGTAAATGAAAGGCGATGTGTCACAGCCCAAAGGGAGAGGGCAGGGGGAGACGGACACACGGAGCTGGCGGGTGCTAGGCGCCCGGTGCGTGTCTGCGGGATGGGAGGGGCACTGGCGAGCCGAGGGAACCTCCAGCGAGTCGGGGAGGCAGCCGGGACGCAGGGAGGAGAGGAGGGAAGACCGGTGGGGACAGCGGGTGGGGACAGCGCCAGCTGGGCTGAAGGCCCCAGACAGCGGCTGGGAAAGGGAAGGCGCGGTCCGGGCATGGGCCTGGTGGCGAGGGGGTCTGCCTCCCGAAAGTCAACCTTCGTGGGCTCCTGAGACGACAGGGGATGAGACACTACAGACGCAGGTTAGGGAGGCACGATGTGGGGGCGGGGGGTTCAGGAGCCTCGACAGGAGGTAGAGCAGACCAAAAAAAAAAGCAGAGGGACACTTCCCTCGGCAGAAAGGAAGAGCATATGTGTCTATAAACCCTGACACGGGACAGGAGCGTTGAGAAGCTCATTCTCTCAGTCCCCAGGGCTCAAATGATACAGCAGAGTCAAGAACTCCCGGCCCCTCGGCTCGGCCCACTGCTAGCTCCACCTTCCCAGGGCGTAAAGTCGGTCTAAGAGCTCAGCCATGTGCACCCAATGCAGACACAAAACAACTCTAAAGACTGTTCCGGCTAATCATCTTTTAGAAAGCCGTCCAGGCAGGGGTGTTAATTACTGAGTCTCTCTGCTTCATAAAGAGAGAACCAGAATATCTGTGTCTACTTGTTACCTAGAGCTGTATGCTTTCTCTTTACTTATTTTGAGAGAGAGAATGCAAGCTTGAGCGTGGGAGGGGCAGACACGGGGAGAGGAAGAATCCAAAGGAGGCTCTACGTTGTTAGTGCTGAGGCCCCTACTGGGATGGAACCCACGAACTGTGAGATCATGACCTAAGCCAGAGTCAGACGGTTAAGCGACTAAGTCACTGAGGCGAACCCTGCTTTCTCTTAATTAGAAAAGCGACCAGCTGTGTATTTTATTTCCTTTCAACCCTCAGCTTCCCACCACCTCCACGCCCCCATTCACTGGGGCTTCTGAATTTACGTGAGCCTCAAAAGGCCAAAGGACTCCCGCTCACTGCACACACACTCCCTTCCTGGCTCATGACGAAGTGGATTCTAACCACTGCAGAATCTGGAGTGAGTGACCCTAGCCAAGTCTATCACAGCATCTAATGGAAAGTTCTGCGTTTCCCAAGTGCCCAGTGATTTAAGAGACCTCCAAGTCTGCTATGATCAGCAAGACCATAAGATTCCAAATGAATTCAGTGGGCTAATAAAACTAATGTCTAACTCTGCAAGGAAAGAAAGTGCAGGTGGTCACTCTTCTGTGCCGCTGAATAAATAGCACGTCCTTTCTGTGTCTCAGTTTCCCTTACAAGATGAAGCTGGACCACACCATATGTTTTAAGTTCCTTCCTAACTGAACTATTAATCAGTCACTTGATTTTGTTTACATTTCAACAGGCCAAAACATAATCCTGACCTGTAGAAAAACGTGTGTATGTATCCTCATTATTTAACAAACTTGACCTTCAATGTCAATAACAAACAAAGCGTTTCGTGCTGTGAGCTGATGTGATGTGTTACAAACACTTCAAGGACCTAAACCAGAAAGGAGCAAAATTTCTTCAAACCTATGCTAAAAATCAGACTAACTTTTGAAAGGCTTGTTGCTCCATTTTAAGTGGACCATTTTGGAAGTTAATTTCAGGGTTCATTTGCTACAGGGTTTTAATCACAACACACAGCTAACAGTTTCACCCAAAATCCTTCCGACTCTTAGGATGCACCTGCTACCCTACAACAGACTGAAGATGAGAATGGGCAAAAACTGAGGGCCTTAGGATACTTTTTTAAAAACATTACACTAAATAATCCCACTGTCTTCTACATTCACACTACTAAAAAAAGATCACATAGTATTCAACTAATTCTTATCAGTTCAGATAAATGGATTTAGAGAATCCTGATTGTAATGAACATGGGTTCCCCTAGTTGTTAATTTTTTGTCACATGTCTGCACTCTAAATGCCCTTGGGATTTTAGAGTTATGACATGAAAACTTTCCTCTTCTAGTAGACAGCAAAAAAAAAAAAAGGGGGGGGGGCGGCAGAGGTTGTTCAAGATAAGCCACTTGGTTTTTCCTCCATTTTCTCACCCTCTGCTTGTTATACTTTACAGTGATCTAAAAAATCAAAATGGTCTTGGTAAGTTAAAGATATGTTTTAGAAACCCTACAAACCTAGGTCTTTGCATTCAAAAGATGTACTGCTTCTATTTACTCAGGTAGCAGCGCCTTTGATAAGGCATGTTCCTATGTAACAAAAGTCAGATTTATGTGCAAATGTCTAGGGTAATTTGTAGACGGATATTAAAACTGAAAGCAAAAAGCATTACTCTACTACAAATTAAGATAAAATTCAAACCCAAAAGGCCAGCCCCTAAGAGAACTCAAGTAAGTTAAATTTTAGCCACCCAAATAATTGTCCAAGATCAGGGAATGTCACTGCCTTTCTACAGGACCCAACAGGAAGACACAAGTTGACAAATGATTTCACTTTTCACTCAATGAACAGAAAAATAAGCCTCACATTAACTAAAACGACTCATCTAGCATGATGTTACAAAAGAAATTTGTACCCACACCAGTAAACTATATCCCAATTTTAAAATAGTATCCTCAGGCCCACAAGTCATTAAATCTAAGTCACTGGAGTTAAAACGTAAGGTCTTTGTTTCAAACACCAATTAGAGTTTTGAAAAACCCATTAGACCCCAATTTCTTCACTTTTTAATTTTCTTATTTTTTTAGGTTTCCAAAGAGCTACTTATTATCAGCTTGCTGATGTAGGTCCATCTGATCTAATTGTTAATCTAACTTACTGTCAAGTGGGCTAACACGCAGTGGGTGCGGTGAGCTCCCGGCCTGGGGTAGACCCCCATTCTTCTTTTTCTAACTAGAGACCTACAGCTGCGCTCAAGCGAACACTGTGTCACAGCATCTACTTGTAGAAGTGTTTTCTGGCTAAGACAGGAGGGGGAAAAATATTCTTCTCGTTCCTACGATTCGAGAGAAGTCTGGGACCTAGCTGCCTCCGGATATATTTAGCAAAATCTCTCAGAACTTCTGTCCTGTATTCTGTGAGCCGGCACATACCAAGGGTAGGAGCGAGCTCACCAGCCAAGCTCAGGGCTCACCGACCCTGCCTCTTACTAGCTGTGTATCCTGGGACGAGCCACTTTATTTTCTGTGCCCCAATTCGCCCGTCTGCAAAGCAGAGATAATACCTGCAAAAATGGTATGAAGAAAATGGACAAGTAGACTAAAAGTTTCTCTTTACAGAACCAATCTGGCAAGTCGGTTTACATTCTTGACCTTCACGGTACCTAGGAAAAGAGGTATATACGATCTGCATTTCACAGAAATAGTTGTGATTTACTTCTGGCACACATAATTCAAACACCTCACATCTTATCTCCCTGTACCTGCCAATATGATTACATTTAGGAGAAAAACGTAACTTCTGAAAATTAATTATAAAAAGCAACTTTAATTCTCTTAGAATTAAACCAAACCCCGAGGTGCCCGGGTGGCTCAGTTGGCTAGGCATCCGATTCTTTTTTTAAAATATATTTTTAATGTTTATTTTTGAGAGACAGAGAGTGAGCGAGCGAAAGAGCACAAGGGGGGTGGGGGTGTGCAGAGAGGGGGGACAGAGGATCCAAAGCAGGCTCCAGGCTCTGTGCTGACCACAGAGCCCGACATGGGGCTCGAACCCACAAACTGTGAAATCGTGACCTGAGCCTAACTCAGACATTTAACCGAGACACCCAGGTACCCATTTTTTTTTTCTTTCTTTCTCTTCTTCCCTTTCCCTTTACCCTTCCTTTCCTTTCCTTTCCTTTCTTTCTTTCTTTTTTTCATAAGCATTCGACTCTTGATTTTGGCTCAGGTCAGATCTCCTGGTTTGTGAGTTCAAGCCCTACATATGGCTCTGAGCTGACAGCACAGAGCTGTGCTTTGGATTCTTTCTCTCCCTCTCTCTCTGCCCTCCCTCTCTGCCCTCCCCTACGCATGCTCTCAAGCTCTCTTTCTCAAAATAAACATTAAAAACAAAAAGTTAACTCCTTCCATATAAAAGCTCTTCAAGTCACAAGAAACCGTTTCTCTTCACTGAGTTAGTCTTAAGAAAATTTATTTCATTGGCCCAACCTTAGAAGATAACATTTTCATTAATATTTGATTATACGAAATAACATAGTCCACTAATCATGAATCATTTTATTATTTTCTTTTAGCCACAATTGTCAAAATGCAGCGAAGTGCCCCTAAATTTGATATTCTTGTGCTATAAACATAACAATCTATTCCAGGGGTGATGATCCAATCCATTATCTAGGGCTTAACTTTCCATTTTAAAGGGTTTCCCCTGCCTTTCGCTTCTCTAGCCCTCCCTCAGTTGACTTGGCCTCATTACTTGTTAATCCCCGCCCCCCCCCAACTCTCCTGAGGAAGCAGAGCACAAGCGGCCACTCATTCAGAGAGCTGGTGACCCCTCGTCAGCAAGGCTGCAGGGAATGGTCAGAATCTTCCAGGCGGGTCTGCCACGGAGCTTAGATTTCCGTGAAAAATAAAAAAGACCTGCACTGGCTGTTAATTACAACAAAGGCAAGCTAGTCCGCCCTTCAGACCGATGATTACAGAGTGGTTTAGCCACTCGTTTCTTTGAACACGTCTGAACAAGACACGTGAACCGAGAGGCTGGGTAACAATACGTTGTTTGCTTCTGTGCCGGACCAGTGCCCAGGTGTTTGAAAGGGAAGGAAGACCATTTATACAAGAGCAATTAAAACAACACAATATAAACAGACTAAGAGTCTCACTGAATATAGGAGATCAGAGATGTTTCGTTTTTTTTTTTAATGACAACTTATTTCCTATTCTCAGGCATCATGACTGTAAACAGGGGCAAATGATCAACATGATCAACACGGTCAGACCGACGGTGCCTCTGAGCTAATGGGAAGCTCACTCAGCAGGACGGGCCCACAGACCCAAGTAAAGAAACACTGGCGTGGATACGGTGGAAGCAGTCACTGCCCGCTCTTTTAATCGACTTCTGACCAAAAAAAAAATAATGGAAGTTCCATCCATTACTGTCTCAGGTTCATCACCGGATGCTCACGGACACCTCTAATCGCTGCTTTCTGGGTACCCTCCAGTCATCACGTTACACACAAGCTCAATTGTCTTTCTGTGAATCATTTTTTACAATGTAAGAAAAAGGGGAAAAAGCATGATAGGAGACTCTTACAAGGGGGAGAGAAGTCACAAACTCAAATCTCCACACAGAAGGCCCCCATCTACAGTTGCTCATTAACTGCCCCTCAACGGGTACAACCTGCGTGAGAGCTAATGGACTTCTTAACCCGGAGTGGGGAGAGGGGGGCTTCCTTTCGATTTCTGGTAGAGACTGGATGTAGGTCAAACCCTATTCTCAAGAACTAGTTAAAGTACATCTTTCAGTGGCATAATAACTGTAAGATGCAGAGTTCTGCTTCAAGTTCTAAGACTTAGGGATCAGTGCCGGGGGGAGCTTCTCAGTCAGGGCGACAACTAGTTAAGGGTCATAATTCTCCGGTGCGTAAGTTAACAGAGGCGTCACTTAAATGCCAGCTGCCCTCCTTTCCCTCCTCAGAGCAGCCCTTCAGCTGCACCAGATCTGCCCCTATGGTACACGTAAGGAAGCGAAGCACTCTCCTCAGGGAACCAAAACTTCAGGAGCTCCTCCTTCTTCTCCCCCCCCACCCCACCCCCTACCCCCCTGCCCTGCCCTGCTGTCTACAAGGAGTTCTTTTAAGAACAAGATAAAAAAAAGTAACAACACAGGGGCACCTGGATGGCGCAGTCAGGTAAGCTTCCGACTCTTGACTTCAGCTCAGGTCACGATCTCACGGTTCCTGGGGCTGAGCCACGCCTGGGGCTCTGCACTGACAGCACGGAGCCTGCTTGGGATTCTCTCTCCCTCTCTCTCTCTGCCTTCTCCTGCTCTCTTTCTCTCTCTCAAAATAAATAAACTTTAAAAAAAAGTAGTAACACTTAAAAATAGTATTTTGCGTACACACCCACGGCATATTCGGAATGCTTACATAGTTTCTCACGAATGAAATGTGAATTTCAAGTGAATGAAAGCAACAAAATACACTTGTCTTAAGGACAGTTAATGGCTTAGAAACTGTTAGAAAACAGTTGGTTTCTCAAGTGTCAACCAGATAGTTCAAAGAGGAGTTTTCAGAGGTCCGTGAAAGTTGTACCAGATTTTGGGCCGCGTGTACGTATGAATATGTGTAGGCACGCACCGCCTCGCTGGAGAGAGGGCGCACGGCTTCCTCAAAGGGGCCAGGACTCAAAAAAAAAAAAGTTGAAACCACTGCACTCAAAGAAGATCACTTTTATTTATTCAAAGAATACTTTTAATTACAGGAAGGAACTGGGTTACTTAGACTTTGTTCGAGCAATGAGAACGGCAGACCCTCTGACCACACTTCCTACCTCTGTGTCCCAGGAATCGTGAAAGACGGGGTTTCTACTACTCCTTTTGGTCTGGGGGGGGAGATGGTGGTCCTCTTCATTGCCATTCCTTCTCCTTTTCCTGAAATTAAAGCACAAGGAGGGGGAAAAAAAAATCCAATGGTTGATCTTTTGCACACTTAAAACTGTAAATCACAACAAATCTGCCCTCTTGCCTGAGAACACAGAATTCACATGCTATCCCGACAGGTAAAAAGTTGGCGGTACACTGTCGCCGGGCACAAAAAGTAAAAATATAAAATAGCAGCAGTACGGGCAAGCTTAAATTAGTACAACTGATTTCTAAAAAGAAGCTTGGCAACTTTAAATAACTACTGGGAATAAATAAAAGCAGGGTGACGCTAATGACTAAGCTTCCAAATCCCACCTAATGAAGGTTATGGTCCTTCGACATTTCCTGAAATCACGATTTCAAGTTGCCTAATTCTGCTCCTCCCACAGGACAACATGGAAGACGGGAGCGGCTGTCTTTGCCCACGTACCCCAAAAATCCCAATCAGAAACCGCGCCGCACAGGAGGTATCGTTACAGGTCCATGCAGTCATTCATCTGCAGTTTTCTCCCGTCCTCGATTTCCCCTCAATGATCATGTGAAAAAAAGCTCGGTGCCCTCTTAAGTATTAGGTCATTTGTCCCGACCTTCACTGGAAAGGCTGCTCTCGGACACATTAACTCCACTGTTCTCCCTACACCACCTCGGATTATGACACGTTACTTCACCAGATTGTTACTTCGAGTACGGGACCCAGGCTGCTCAAAATTTTCAGGTGTAAAGGGAAAAAAACCCCCCACATTTGTCAGTGTTCTCAGATGTGCAACAAAGTTTGTATGTATTCTATGTAAGAATTAAGTGCTCCTAGAAAAGCTTCTAAACCCTAGTTTAGAAGACAAAAGATAGAAATAAATTAAAGGAGATATCATTTTAAGTCCAACTGCCTGGAATTGTGTGCTGTCCGGTACAGTAGCCACTAGCTCACCAAGTAGTTATTTAAATTAAGTTAAATTAAATCTACTCTCCCGTTCCTTAGTCACACTAGCCATATTTTGAGGTGTTGGAAGGCCACAGGCGGCTAGTGGCAACTGTGCCGGACAGCACAGACAGGGGACATTCCCATCACTGCAGAAAATTCCATCGGGCAGCTTTGGCAAGAGGTCAGTTTATACAAAACAGCATAATCTATTGTCATGAAAATTCTCACAGACTCACACTTCCATAGCTGGAGGGAAAAAGAGCTTTTCCAAAAGTACTGAATTGAGCGGGTGGGATCTTGTACGCAGCCACCCATCTTCCATGCGAGCCGCGTGGCACACCAGGGCAGGCCCGTAGTCCTAAGGTCTGGGGTTGAAGTCTTGACGCTGGAGAAACTGGAACTGTAAGCTATCCCCCCGGGGTTAATCCCCTGTCCCCTGCAGTATTCCTGTCCTCTGAAGACATCTAACTTTATTAATGGGTACAGATCCAGGCATGGGATGGTCACTTGTGAGTGGGTGTGGTGCCGATAAAGCATTAACCAACCGGCAAGGGGCTACACTATTTCCCTCATTCCCAGCCTCAATTACTTCTACGACCATCATTTCTGTTCCCTAAGCTTTCTTTCAGAACAACGGGGCTTATCTGCATGCTACTTTGAAGTATTTGGAGGTTAAAAACTAGGTGAAGAGCAGGTTTAAAACTAATTTAAATGGATGTGCTATTACCACAGATTTGAACCAAGAAATCACTATTTTCATCCTGCTATGACCAGAAAACTTTTTTGTGGAAAAGAGCTGCAGTTACAGAGCAAGGTCCAACGGAAGGCCAGTTGACACCCCCGGGGAAACTCACCAAACGACAGTACGCTGGTCCCCAAACTCTTCTCTTACGAATGTGCCAGCAGCTGCCTGAGCCACCCTAACCACTTCTGAGCCTGACCCAGACTGCAACTAAACTCTGGGAAAGTCGCATGAAAATATCCCAGCCTTGTGATCGGCTTCTTTCTCAAGGCACCAGAAAGATCTCCTGTCGGGGGCCTCTCCTCGGGACGGTACTCGATTAAGAATGAGTCCTACTGTTCTTCATTCTCCTTTTTCTAGGCTCTGTGCAGATTCCGTCCTTGGAACATTCTTCTTTCAACAAAATTGGTAATAATTGTCAAGATTATAGCTTCATGTTCAGCCCTAGCCACACGGTCAGATTACAGCTTTCTACATTAATACCACGGACCAGGTTATAATTTTAGCAGCCACCATGTAATTGATTATATTCTCCCCAGGCATCTAGCTACAGATTGTGGTTTAGCATCTGTTCCTTCCAAGGACGGCTGACTACATCACTGTCCATCATTTCATTTCTCTCCAATCTTCCTGCCATCTCCTGGAGACTGAGCAGAGATCTTAAGAGGGGTGTCTGGGGGGCTCAGTCGGTTAAGTGCCCGAGTCTTGATTTTGGCTCAGGTCATGATCTCACAGTTCAGGAGTTTGAGTCCTGCATCATTTCGGGCTCTGCTCTGATAGTGCAGAGCCTGCTTGAGATTCTCTATCTTCCCCCCTCCCCCTAAAATAAATAAGTTAACTTTAAAAGGAAGAATGAGGGGGCGCCTGGGTGGCTTAGTCGGTTAAGCGTCCGACTTTCGCTTAGGTCATGATCTCGCGGTTCGTGGGTTCAAGCCCCACGTCGGGCTCTGTGCTGACTGCCAGCTCAGAGCCTGGAGCCTGTTTCGGTCTGTGACTCCCTCTCTCTCTGACCCTCCCCTGCTCACGCTCTCTCTCTCTCTCTCTCTCCTAGAAATAAATAAAAAACATTAAAAAAAAAAAAAAGGAAGAATGAGGAGGGAGGAGGGAAAGAGGTGGAAGAGGGGAAGGAAGGGGAGGAGGGAGGAGAATGGAGGGGAGGAGGTGAGAGGAGGAAGAAGGGGAGGAGGGGGAGGGGAGAAGGGAAGAAGGGGAGGAGGGGGGAGGGAAAAATCTTGAGTATGGAAACTAGTGTTTTTCAAACTTTTAAAAAAAGTAACAAAACCCTTTCTTTCTACTGGGAAAAATATCTCAATATATATGAGATAAAGATCCTGTTTTGGTTCAAGTAGAGGTTTTCTTGACCTACACCCACCCCTCTATGGCTATCCCAATGTATTTTCTAACACTCTGAAAAACCACCATCTCAGACCAACCCTTCATCTTAACACTGAGGAAACAGATCCAGAAAAAACTGGACTGGGGACATACTGTGATAGCAGGAGCTGGCAGAACTGGTACATGAACCATGGGGTGAAAAGCAGACAAGCAGCCCCTGTCCAAATCAAAAGGTTTCTTTGATGGCAATGAAGTTACCAGTATAAACAGGTTGAGATTGTTTGTATACTATGTAAAAGAAACCTGCTACCAGTATAAGCACATTTAGAGTTCTATACAGCAATGGATAAAGGGAATCTTTCTGCGGGAAATATTTGGGCTTTCCCAGGTATGAGGCATCACAAGAGCCTATGTTCCTAATTCCAATGGCAAGTTGGTAATTGGGCCCCTCATTTCAAATTTAGTCCACTCTTGTTTTCTCTACAAACAGGCTTTGTGCCCCACTCACCCACCGTATGCCCAAATCAATAATCCAGTGCAGAAGTATGGGTGACCCTAGATCTTCACTACTGGACCAAATGACCTCAAGATGCTTTCCAGAATCTTAATCTCTGAATCGACCACCCCCTGGAGAAGGATCCTTGTGGAAAGACTGCCCAGTACAATCAGGGCCAATGAAAATACAGAACAAGGAACCATCCAGCATAACCTACCAAGGCAAGTCCATTTGATTCACCCGAGCTTCCCTGAGAGTATTGTGAAGTAATGAAAAGAGCAGTCAACCTGGAAACACTCGGTTTCCCTGCTGAGCTCCCTGTATGTTTCCTTATCAGAAAAATGAGTGTTGTTCTTGGTGATCTATAGATTTTTCGCTTCAAATTCCACAATGAGGGATTTTTTCTAATTTGAAAGAAAGTTGCTCCTCTTCGTTTGGTGTTCCCAATCCCAACTTTCTCCTCCCCACCTTTCTTACAGGGGGTTAAAAAAGAGAGACAGAAAAAAACTGCAGTTTGATTGGGACTCTATTCTGTACACGTCAAGCAAGCGGAGCACCCCTAGGTCAAGACACAGGTCCTGAGGTCAGGGCTCAGTGGAAAGTAGAACATCGCCATATAATCCTACCTCCCGCCTTCGGAGTCAAACGGCTCCGCATCCAAACAGTTTAGAATCCTGCCTGTTTATGCTACAAGCCACTTTGGTCATCCGCCCTCCTATGTTCACAACCGTCCGGGGCCCAAATTCTAACACCTATCCCAATCCTTCCCCGCTGCAGAGCTAAACCCAATCCTTTCTGACCTTGGGGAGACGGCAGCTCTCAGCCCCGGTCCCTCAAAGACGTCCTAGGGGCTCCCAGTCATAGATCAGACATTCCTCCCATCCCCCCACTCTCCTAAATTTAGGACAGAGAAGCTTCAAGGGCCACTGTCTCTCTTCCGGGACCGTTCAGACTGCATTCCAAGTAGGGAAATACAAGGGGGAAAAAGACGGGGTTGGGGGAAGACTCGGACCCTGGCGAATCCCTCCTCCAGCACCTCAGAGACCAGGTACCCGACCACTCACGCATCCCTCCCCCTCCTCCCCCGGGCCGTAGGGCGACCAGATGGAGACCCGCAGGGCCCACGCTTGCTCGGACCCCAGCTTCGCGCGCTCCGTCGGCCCCAGCCCCCAACGAGAGGCTGGGAAGGAAAGCGGTCCCTGCGGTCTCACCTGGGGCGGAGGCGCTCGCTCATGGCAGCCGGTGGAGGGGAGCGACGCGGCGCGGCTCCGCGAGATGAGGGAACAGAGGGTGTCGCGTTCCGGCGGCCGCCACGCCCACCCCCTCGGGCCTTGGCTCTTGCCGCGGCGCGGGTGGACGCTGCCGGCGATGAGTACCCCTCGGTGGGACCCGTACCACCGCTACTTCCGGCGTCTGCTCCGCGCCCCCCCATGTCGCAGCCGCCGTGGTACCGCCCTCTCGCGGCTGCGCAGTTGCGCGACCGCGGCCGCGCCGACCGGTAACCCCTCCCACGGGAAGAGGCGGGCTCCGAGTGGGGAGGAGCGACTGGGAGCTTCTGGGAGAGAGGACCTCATGAGAGGCGGCCTGAGCATTCGCCTGTTGGCAGCCGAAAGGGGCCGGCATTAAAGTCAAGCCAGGTTTAAATTAATTTAAATTATTTCATAACAGTACGATACGGGTATTTATGTCAAGCCCCTGTGAGTGAACAGTTTTGTAAAAACACAGCTGAGAAGCATCAGGCACTGGCGCAGACGGCCTGCGGCGGGTCCCCGACCGGGAGGTGGGAAGCTGCTGGAGGGCTGCGCTGGGGGGCTTGTCGCGGGGGCTTCCGGGACTTTCACACCTGGCTGGGTGAGGACGCTGGTGTGGGTGAGTTGTAGCGGGTCGGGCTGTGTCCTAGTGCCCAGGCCCTGTGTCTGGGGGTGAGGGGAGGGGGCTTCCCGAGGAGAGAGGGGGCTTCCTGGGCCTGCAGGATAAGCCCCCCTCGGCGTCCGTGTGGCTCCGGCACCTCCGGCCAGGGCTGCAGTGGAGGCCAGCCCGGAGCCGCAAGCTTCCCGACGGCCCCCGCCCACTCCGCGGGGAGTGGCGGCTCGGCTTCCGGAATGAGTGTCGGAGCTGGGAGGAGGGCGGGCCAGGTATCGAGGCTCGGGGGTGGGGGTGGGGGTGGGGGTGGGGGGGCGACTTGGCGCAAGTCCCACAGTCCCGCGGCCTTAACTGTCTGCTTTCCGGAGCACGGAGAGGCACCTGCCCTGCGAGTTACTCGTACTCGGTTCGGTGCGCACCACATTCGTTCACTGAGTGTGCTGTCAAGTTCCTCGTCCGATTGTGTCTTGCGCAGGCTGATAATTAGAATCGAGTTGCTTTTGCCAGACCCAGGAGCTGCGATCGTGAGGCATGGAGATCCAGAAGACACAACCACAAAATTAGCATCCTTCTGGGGAAGCCCCAGTAGGAAAGTATTCAGGCACCCACGGGAAGACGTTACCACGTGAGGGTGCAGGGTCTTTCCAGGAGGACTGAGTGTGGTGGAGTTCTGTTGGGGCAGATGTATCTAGAAGGTCCCAAGCCTCTTCTGAAGTTACTAGCCTAAGGCCCGTGGACTGGCTCCAACTGTGGGTATTTTTGTAAGTTAAGGTTCACAAGTTTGATTATACTGTCGGAGAGGTACCTCCAAAGTCAGAATGATTACTCTAATCACAGTTGTGTTTTGCCTGAGTTCACATAGGATCCTAAATGGGTTGGCCAAGATTGTATCTACTTATCTTGTAAATGGTTTCAGTGTCACTTTTTTGACTTAAGTAATAGAAGGTTATCACAGTCAGTGATTTATGATAGCGTTTGCACGTTTACGTTTAGAGAAAAAAATTCATTCAACATATACCATATGCCCAGCTCAGTTCTCAAAGAGGTACAAGTAATACATGGTATTAATTTTTTTCATGTGTTTTACCTGATATAACTATCACAAAGGTTTCAAACTAAATGAATTTGCTGGCAGTCCATTGTACTACAAACTATAAATAAAAAATTGGGGACCATGTTCCCCCCATATATATTATTAGTGCATCACACACACTTTTTTTGTGAGAGTGCATACACATGCGTGCAGGCAGGAGAGGGACAGAGAGAGAGTCAGAGAGAGACTCTTAAGCAGGCTCCACGCTCACCATGGAGCCCAGCATGGGCCTCAGTCCCACAAACCTGGGATCATGACCTGAGCCAAAATCAAGAGAAGGACACTCAACCGGCTGAGCCACCCAGGCACCCCTACGCACATTTATATGTACATGTATGTCTATATGTGCATTTTACTAATACAGGAGGTATTTATAGAGCTTCATTTCTCATGCTGAAATATTGGAAGTTCTAATATTTTCTTCTTGCACCTTTGTGGGCCTTCCATATACCACTTTGAAAACCATGACTGTAGTCAACGGCCTTCAGATCTTGGCTTGGATTTTTTTATTCTTCACCATTCTTTCCTTAAATGGTATGTTTGAGGGCTTCAAACAATTTCTTTGTATTTGTGTGATACCCAGCTGACTTGCTGTAACCTTAAATTGCAAATATTTTAATCTGACTGCTAGTTTGGACAACTTTTTCTTCCAGTAACCATTATTTATTAGATTTAAGTCTTCTAGCTGTGCTCAGCTCCTAGTTAGGGATGTTATAAAACCTCTTTGATGGTCTTTTATTAGTGGATGGTTCCTAGAAGACTTTAAGAAACGTACAATGCCAGGCATAAGTGAAGCCAGGAATATTTATCCTAAAACCAACTGTGTCTTCTGTTTCCTATTTCTGTAAGAAAATGAATCAAAACACATTTTTTAAAACTTCCCTCGACCTAGCTTCTTCCAAAAAAAAAGGTACACATGTGGGGCTTCTGGGTGGCTTAGTCGGTTAAGCGTCCGACTTTCGCTTAGGTCATGATCTCCCGGTTCGTGGGTTCGAGCCTCGCGTCGGGCTCTGTGCTGACTGCCAGCTCGGAGCCTAGAGCCTGTTTCAGAGTCTGTGACTCCCTCTCTCTCTGACCCTCCCCTCCTCACGCCGTCTCTCTCTCTCTCTCTCCTAGAAATAAATAAAACATTTAAAAAAAAAAAAAAGGTACACATGTCAATGAAATATCAATATTTACGAACTGCGTGCCCTTCATAACCTTCCATATATCTTTTTCAGGAAGAGGAGAGGGACTCTCTGCCGGGATGGAAGTGTGTCCTTACTGTAAGAAGCCATTTAAACGATTAAAATCCCACTTGCCGCACTGTAAGATGCTAAGGCCCTCTGTACCTGTTGATGGCAAAGCTCCTCAGTCCAAGTTAGCTACACGCCCACACACAACAGAGAGGAAAAAGCCGGTCACAGATTTAAATAACACCAAAGGGAGAGAGTCAGAGACCAATAGTAAGAAAAGAAATTCCAAGTTGGTAAAGGACAAAGCAGAATGGACGACGAAGTCTTTTCCGCCATGGGCTGTTGGTTTGGAAAGAAGTAACACAAAGGCAGATGAAGACGTCCAGAATCGAGTTCAGTGCTCCCTCAGCATGCTAACGGGTACTGAACCAAAGCCTGCTTTCCAGGGAAAAACCAAGGCTCGGTTTTATGCATCAGAAAACACCACTCCTAAAAAAGAACTTGCCAGAGATTTGCCTCCATCAGGGGAAAGAAGAAGTAAGCTTTCAGAGACCAAAGCATCTTTACCTCGTGGCCTGGTAGAACCTTCGTCAAATCAAGATAGAACATGTTCCTCAGCCTTACCTGATGATGTACAGACCGCTTTTCCCAATTTAAGATTGGACAGAATTGATCCCTCAAGACAGAAGCCTCTAGTAAAGTTACTAGATAGGGCTGATGGTGATTATCATAGTTCTCCCGTGCATCTCCATTATGGGGTTGAAAGGGTAAGGTCGTCCTTGTCAAGCAGTGAGATAGAGGCCAAGGTCAGGGACCCCCTCTCAGAAGTCCCTAGTGATGGTAGAGACCCTGAGATTCAAGTAAAGGGCAGGGAATCCCATTTTTTAGATTTTAAAGTCGGCCCGTTAGGTGAAATCCACGTCAGGGAGAGCCAAGGAGAAGGACTTGACCTTGGAGCCGAGGCACGTGGGAGCACAGGAAACGCAGGGAAAAGTGCACCCGTGACGGACACGCAGGATTGGGCTTCTGTGAGCAGTGACGCAAAGGATTTCAGTGGGGACGATTTGGCCACAGAGAGGAAACGTCAAGACGAAGGTCCTGGTTTCGGTCTGTTCACTCCAAGGGGGACGACTTGCAGTGAGCTGCTTTCTGTCTCACCGTTGCATAATCAAAACCCGGCCTCTCTGACTGTCCAGCTTGTTCAAGAAGAGAAAGCATTAGCCTGCAGGGCTCCCCCAGCCCCTCTGTGGCACGGCCCCTGCTGCGGGCCCCAGGCCACGTGGCCCGGCCACCAGCAACCTTTGCCTTTGGTTCTGCGTCACGCCTCTGACGGTCCCTTCAGCCAGGTGGGCGATGCTGGCAGGAAGGGCCTCTCGGGCTCCCTCGGGCTGGAGTGGTTTCCAGAGCTCTATCCTGGTTATCTTGGCCTGGGTGTGCTGCCGGGGAGGCCCCCGTTTTGGAATGCCGTGGCCCAGAAGCCTCCGTTCCTCAGTCCCCAGGGGGAGAGACTCTCACAAGGTAAGCGTGCTCGTTTTCAAGGACCGCCCAGCTCCTCCAGACAGCTCTGGGCCCCTTGCCCTCGTCAGGTTCAGAATACTCGTGCTTTCTCTCAGGTAGCTGATTTTTACCCAGGCGTTGCGTAGACCAGACGTAATCCCAGTTCTGAAAACTCATTCTTGTTCCAGAAGTAGTCGGTGCCAGTGGTTTACCATGCTCCCTGCCCCTCCACCCAGAGGTGAAGGTCAGACTAGGCCAGGCTGGCTGGTGACCTTGATCACTTGAGTTTCTGCATTGGGCCATCGTACGGCCAGTGGATTTGGGGTATTCAAGCTCTCTTGAGAGACTGGGGAAGAGGTTAGGGAAGAAGAGAGGACTGGGTGGCGCTCTCCTCGGAAGCTGTCCAGAGGCTCCTTGCCACTGCCCGGAAAGGGTTAAGTGGCCCCACAGAGCCAGGAAATTCCTCACTTTTTCCTGCAGAACCTTACTTTTATTGGACTATCTCTCTAGTTAGAATATGTAAAGTTTCTTCATTTTCCTCATGAGAAAGCTTTAGATTTTTGTTTTAAGGTTTTCTGGAAGAATAGTTTTTGGATTAATTTTTAAAGTTTGTTTCTGAGAGTGAGTGAGCGGGGGAGGGAGAGAGAGAAGCCCAAGCAGGTTCCGCACTGTGAGTTCGAAGCCCGATGTAGGGCTTGAACTCACGAACAATGACATCATGACCTGAGTTGAAACCAAGAATCGGATGCTTGACTGACTGAGCCCCCCAGGTGCCCATAGATGCAGTTAGTTTAATGTAGCATCCATCTCGGTGGGGGGGGGGGTGTGTGTGTGAGTGTGTGTGTGGTGTTCATCAGTGCTTTTAGATTTGACAGGAGACCTTGGCAACTCAGAATAGCTTTGCACCTGAAAAATCTGTAATTTCTCTTCCTAAAGGGACATATTTTTCTTTCTGGTATATTTTGTATAAATTATTACGTATTCACTGAAGCCCAGGTCGTCCCCTGTGAGAAGCATTTCCTTTGGTAGGGTAAGGAGTCCTTTCTAGAGCTTTCAGGGGGTACCGTGTCAAGTAAAGAGGACTGCTGGCTGAAGCTGCCATTTTCTTCCACCTGCCCTACGAACCCCCCTAACGGCCAGGTGCTCTCTCCGTTGTAGTCCGTCTCAAGGCCAAAGCTGCTCGGGAGCCCCTTTCCCACCCCCATACAGTATCGATATTAACGTCTGAGTTTGTCCACCTCAGCATGCTGGTGCTGCTGGTGCTGCTTCCATCCTGTTCTTGCTGAGGCCCCGCCCCTCTGAGAAGTGGGCGGTGACCTTTATCTCTGCTTTGCTGGTGATAAACCAGGCTGGGAGAGCACACGTGACTTGTCCAAGGTCATGTTGCCTTAAACAGTGGAGCTCCAAGTAGAACGCCCTTTCCACTAAACCATGTTGCAGAAAGTTGACCGGAGCCAGCAGCACGGGAGTTGGTCAGCTGTCTTGATCGCATAGGCACGCGCGCAGCCCGTAGCACATCTCTGGCGCGCGGGACTTCTCCAGTCCCTGTGCTGTCTCTCACCGTGCTGCGGGGAGGGGTCTCTGGTACACCCACTTTCGTTTTAGAGGGAGAGGGGAGGAGACTCACATCAGATTAGCCTCTGCTAGCTAACGTTACATTGTTACCTCATTCAGACCTCATGACAACTCAGGTGACTGTCAGTGGCGTCCCTGTCCCACCTTTGTTTATGGGTGAGGGACCTAAGCCCCAGACATCTTTTATGTATTTACTTATTTGGGGAGGGGTGGCGGGGAGAGAATCCCAAGCAGGCTCCATCTCATGACCATGAGATCGTGACCCAGGCCACCCAGGCACCCCATGCGCCCCAGGCATCTCAAGTGACTTGCCCATGTTCATCCAGTAAGTGGTGGCCAGAATTCAAGTCTCAGTCCATCTGACTTGGACACCCATGGTCTTTATCCTGTGAGCTAGGCTTACACTGTTTGAGGCACTTAGTGGTCATTGTCACAGTTGATTTAAGTTATTAGTTGACAGGCTCCCTTTAGTGGGTCCCAAGAACATAGTACTAGTAAGGTAAGGGCTGGGTTTCTCCAGAATAGTGGTGAAGAGCTATTTTGCTCCCTGGGATTGCTCCCAGTCTGCACTGCTGTGACCAGCTTGGCAAGACTGGTAGCTCTGAGGACGCGGCGGAGTCGGGTTTCTGTAAGTCAGGAATGACAAATAGGTTTACTGAGCTCGGTGGCATCAAGAGCTGAGCCATCCTGTGAGGTTTAGGGAGAAGGATTTTCACGGACTTACTACCCCAAAAAAAGTGTTTTTTCCAGCACTGGAGAAAACAGACTTTAGAAGTTCCAAGATTTAAATCTCTGGAGACTGAGCGAGTACAAGTGGCTGACCGTCCTCAGCAATAGAAATTGGTTTCCTTTGTTCAAAGGAGAGCCTTGCGAGCCCTTCGCCAGGGGAGGGGTGCTTGGCTGAGCCCCGCCCAGATGTCGGTGCCCTAGCTTCTGGGACTGAGGGTTGAAGAGCTCTGAGCCCCAATCAGGACAACCTGATGACCCCATATAGGATGAAAGATTCTTGGACCTCATCCCCAGAGAATGATCCCGAAGTCCGGTCTAAGATTCAGATTTCCAGACATTTTCAAAGTTAGAGTTCTGCAGGTGTCGGGGAGGGCCCCGGGGTGTTGGCAAACAGAAGGTGAGGGAGAGAGGAGGAGGTTTGAATAAAACACAGTTCCTAGAAATTGGGCGGCAGGGAGAACAGAAAGTACGGAAACCCGATAGGGTCACGGGCGTTTAAAGACCCAGAAACAGCTTCATAAACCCTCTTCTCTGAATGAGAGAAAAACACCATTTCCACCGATAAGGTGTTGAGTGAGGGTTTCAAGATGGGACACCTATGACAAAGGGGCTCAGACTAGTCAGGGTCAGAGCAGAGCGGGAATATGACCAGTCAGGAGTAGATCTGCTAGTACCCAGAAGCGACTGGGAAAGGGGACGTGTGTCAACAGCCAGAGGCAGGAGGGGTGCGTTGAGTCACATGTCTGGCATTCCAGCCAGGCCAGAGGGGTGATAGGAAATGGTGGAGGTGCCGGGGATGGTTCTGGTGTTTATGCTAGAGAATGGCGCCGCGGTCACTAGGTTTGGGACATAAAGACATCTATACTGGTAGCGGGTCAAGGACCCTGTCTAGAGACGAGATGGCAGCGGAGCTAGGCCGAAGGGGTGTCGATCAGAACCCAGGGTTCCTGGACGGTGGGAAGGAGACACAGAAGAAACTCTCAGCAACTTCTGTGGGTTCTGAAATGGCCTCTCCTGGGCCTCGGGCGTCCCAAAGTGATGTCATTTGCACAAGTGTGATGGAGCCCTTAGTGGAGGAAATAGGCTGCTGGTTGGAGAAGGGACAGCGTGGAGGGGCCGCCCCATTCCTGACACGGCAGGGGAGGTGGTTTTTCAGCTGCAGTTTTCACAAAACTGCTCCTTCCCATCTTGTTTTCAGACCTTTTCCAAGAAGAATGGGATTTGTCCTGCTTTGTTTTTTTAAGAGACTAATCTTCACCTCATGGAATAATTTTCTGGGTGATTTCTCCGAAGCCAGTGCGGTTTTTCTCATCGGTGGTTCTCAGTGTTGCTTAGTGTCACGATCATTTGGGTGTCACCGCATCTGCTAAACTTGTTGCAGCTGTTCCCTTGTTTATCCTTTCTCCCGATGGACCGAACCGAGACCGGAAGATCAGTGACAGTAGAGATTCCCTTTCCTAACACAGAAAAACAGGGGCAGGAAAGCTGTGAATAGAGAGCATAAACCCTCCTTTCTGGTTCTACGTGGATTATTCCCATGTTGAACATAACCGTTGACTTGCCAGTAAAAGCAGCACGCGTGCCGACCCTAGTCGTCATGAGAACTAGCAGTAGTTAGTGTCACCGTAGAAAGTCACGCCTTCTACTTTAAGGTACAAACCAGATGTACATAAGGGAACGGAAGCAAAAATAAGATAAAAACAGGGAGGGGGGGAAAACATAAGAGACGCTTAAACATGGAAAACAAACAGGGTTCCTGGAGGGCCTGTGGGAGGGGGGATGGGCTAAATGAGTAAGGGGCAGTAGGGAGTCTACTCCTGACATCGTTGTACTCTATGCCAACTAACTGGGATGTACAGTTAAAAAATAAATTGAAACAAGGAAGTCCTGCCTTCTGCTGAAACACAGCAAGTGGTAGCAGATGCGGGCTGTCCCTCTCAGGAAGCATGCGCACGCCTGTTGGCTGCGCGGTCCACTCATCAGACCGGAAGTGTAGCTCAATCCCAATCCCCAGGGGCTCCCCCCGCCCTTCATAGAACCTCTCTCAGGGAATAAACCGCCTTGACCTTCAGCACTTAGTTAACTGCAGCCCTCCAGCTGTTCCGGGATCCTTCCCCGCAGCCTGGCCCCGGAACCCTGGGCACAGAGTGTCGGGAAAGGAGCGAATCTAAACGAACTGTCACAGTGACTTCTGTTTGGAACCGTAGTTCCTTTGTTGGAAAGAAGCTGGCCTGCTCTCAGGAGTTGGGGACCCCCGACCAGACTTCCAGCCTCCAGCTTTACTCTGATGAGGCTCTTGGGAGCAGTCCGGAAAGGTGAGCTGGAGTCATTGACTGCTGGGTTTTGTTGCCGGTTCTGAGCATTTGGAGAAGGGTCTCTTATTTTAGCCAAAATGGTTCCAGCCAGGCTAAGGAAAAGAGAAAGAGACAAATGTGGAGGCTCCCTTCTCTTCCCTCGGTCCATTTTCACCATGGAGCCTGACGTCAACACCAGGAGGAGAGCAGCAGCCATTACGGGCCAGCTTTCCTTTTTTGTGATGCCTCCCCCTGGCCTCCTCCCCTCGCCTCTCCCCTGCCCGCCTGGATCGTCTTAAAGCCCGGAGGGCACTAAACCTCAAGTTCTCCAGGCGTGTTAGTCTCCCCCGACTCGCGATTCCGACCAAACTCCTAAAACAAGAGTGTCTCAACTTTTAAAATTAACACCTTCCACCTTGGGCCTTTTCATCTGTTTAAAAAAAAAGCATAACCCATGTGGAGGTGCGAGAATCCTGTGACTCCGGTCCCGTGGCCCAGGCTGATCGGGGTGACGCGAACAACGGCAGGTCGCGTCACCACGGCAACCACATTTCTCTTCCCACAGGCTGGGTCAGGTGCCGTACCACCGTGCGGAGTGGCGTTGGGGGCGTCACCATGCTCTTCGCAGGGTACTTCGTCCTTTGGTGCAGCTGGAGTTTCAGACATCTGAGTAAGCTTCTCAGTACTCCGAGCCCAGGTCGCAGGCCTCTCCCATGACAGGGACCCGCCAGGGGTTCTCCAAATGGCTTTTTATAGTCCAGTTTTGCGTTCTCTGGCACAGCCCAGGGACTGAGCCCCTGTCTGGGGCTCTGGGGTCTTTTATTACGGGTTTTGGTTATAATGACCTTCACAGGGTGGGACTAGAATTACATGATTGGCCCTGTGCTCGGGTCTCACCGGAAGTCTGCTGCTCTGTGCTGTGTCCCTAAAGCTGTTTGCCCACCAGATCGGCGACCCCCCGTAATTCCTACCTAAGAACCGCCTTTCAGCATTGAAACCAAACAGTTTATACCCCAAGAGAGGAGAGGAGACCTTACGGCCGGCAGTCTTGTGTCTATGGGGCACAGAAGCCTCAGTTAACGTTACTTTCTGCGCTGAGAACACAGCCACCCTCGTTAGGGGTTCACTTGCGCAGGTCCTGTCCAGGAGGAAAGCGTCTGAATGCCACCTCTCTTTTTAGTGCAGGTTAACTTTTCTCATTTTTTATTTTATTTTTAATTTTTTTAATGTTTTTATTTATTCTTGAGAGAGAGACACACACAGGGAGTGTGAGCAGGAGAGGGGCAGAGGGAGAGGGAGACACAGAATCCAAAGCAGGCTTCAGGCTCTGAGCTGTCAGAACAGAGCCCGACGTGGGGCTCGAACCCACAGATTGCGAGATCATGACCTGAGCCGAAGTCGGACGCCTTACTGACTGAGCCACCCAGGCACCTCGTCTCCTGGTTTCTTACCGCTTCTCTCTGTTTATCCCAAGAGCTGCAGCGCTGGCGGAAGTAGTGGCCTGGACACCGAGTGAGAGCACTCCAGGACGTGGGGAGCGCAGCCGAGACCACTGCGGTGCAGATCGGACAGTTTAGAATGGTATTTGGGGCAGGGAGAGGGCGTGAGAAGAATAAAATTATTGGAACCGAACACCGTGATGTTAGGAAGTCCGTCCGCCCCTTTCCCTTGGACAGGCCCGGGTCTGTGTGGACAGGTCTTGGGCTGGCTCTCCGGAGAGACAGTGCTCCTGAGAAGCCTTCGGTTTGTCTGCTCCTGAAGGCCGAAGATGTTGAGGGAGGCAGGAAGGTGACAAAGGTCATCAGTAAAATTTTTTTAAAGCGTTAATTTGCAGTGAGTAATACCTCACTTTTAAATCTCTCTCCCTAAAAGTATTCGCTAAGCTTTGGCATTTTATTAGTCATCTGTATGAGATGCCAGGCTTCACGCCCCCTGGTACAGATTAGTGTCTGAAGTGGCAGGAAATCTGCCTCCATCCGGCCCTTTGGGGTCATTGACACCTTGGCAGGTGTGAGAGCCATAAAAACAAAACAAGGGTGGAGACAGAGTTGCAGGTGAGTCTGTGGGAAATCCTTAACAAATAGTTTTAAACCAATTAAAATGAGATTGCACACTGAACAGAATATTAAAGTGCCTTTTATACATCTTGAGTGTAATAGCAAATGGTTTCTATTGGTCATTTTTTCTAGAAACTTCAGAATCCCACCCCATCCCTTCCTGAGAATTTCAGTGAAACACTTAACACCTTCCTTTTACTTTATCAGGGCTGTTGGGTTTTCCAGGTCTCTTCCCCCATCAAAATAGTCAGCGTTTTTCTGATTTTATAGCTTCTGCTTTGGCCCTCACTTGGTTACTTACAGATAGAAAAGGCTTAGAGGAAACGTAATCTAGATTGCACTGACGGAGAGCTGTTTCTCCAATCCGTTTTTCCAACATGCGAGTTGATTATATATCCTAGATACGTTTATATCTACCTGTTTTATACACATGTGCGCATGCGCACACACATACACACATTAGCTTTGCTTGGGATGTTCTCATGCCAAATGCATGCTGTCAGCCCCTGTTTTATCCGAGCTCCTTCAAGACTTGAGTTCTGGCTCTATCTTCTGCTTTATCTGCCTTTTCTCTTCCCTGTCTCACTCCCCTTCTAATTATCCCCAGCGGGAGTAATTTAATCCTGCATCAGTTTTTCAAGGTTGGGGAAAAGGTATACCAGAATTCCCCGTAAGGAAAACATTCAAGGTTGAGGAGAGAACTGCATTTGTATTACTGAGGACTTCATTGGAATTCTGAAAACAGGATCTTTCCTTTTGAAAGGGCTTTGTGGCCATTCTTTGCAAATGCCCTTTAAGGGAGATGCTATGCTCCCTGCACCTCCCCCTTTGCCTTTAGTCCAGATCAGAAACCCTCAGGGCACCAAGGTAGAAGAGAAGGCTGCCCCTGAGCCCTCACGCAGCTGCCGTGGCCCCTGTGGTGGCCGATGCAGCCCACTCCCCGTTTTGTGACTAAAGTCTTCCTGGAGCACAGCCGTACCTCCGTGGTCAGGTGTGGCTGGGCCAGAACTGAATGCGTACAGCAGACACCACATGGTTCGCAAAGCTGAAAATACCAAGAAAATGTGTGCCGACCCTGCCCTGGGGGAGTGGACCCCCACCCCGCCACCGGCCTCCACGTGTGGAGTGTTGAAGGCAACTTGGGATCGCGGCCCTAAGATAGTTTAGCAAACACAGTTTGGTAGAAGCTTTCTTGACTTACAGCCTTAGAGAGAGACAGAGCATGAGCGAGGGGAGGGGTAGAGAGAGAGGGAGACACGAATCAGAAGCAGGCTCCAAGCTCTGAGCTGTCAGCACAGAGCCCAATACTGGGCTTAAATTCCTGATCTGTGAGATCATGACCTGAGCTAGAGTTGGATCCTTAACCAGCTGAGCCACCAGGCACCCCAATACTGAGTGTGGATTCTTAAAGGGTCCGGAGGACTTTGAAAAAGCCGTTGGCTCTCTGTCCAGATGCTGGAGTGCTGGTTCCTGGCCACTCATTACTTCCCTGTGGGGTGAGGTTGTGCTTGAAGACCTTTCCTCAAGTCTTTTAAGGATTTCCTGATAATATTCCAAAGAGCCCACGTTGTTGAGGTCAGCTGAGAGCCGTTGATTCTTTTCCTAGATTCCAGTCTAGACCAACTGCGTGATCAAAGGAGCAGTTTCCGCTTACAGTAGCGATGGACAGTTGGCTCGTGGGGATGTATTTACTGCTCACATCTGCAAATATCCCTGCAAGATCGTTCATTTGTGCAGCCAGTCCTAATCGTGTCTGTGACCCGGCAGATCCAGGGCTCCATCCAGGAAGGCGAGAGATTCTTTTCAGACCTGGGGTCGCAGCTGAGTGAGCCCATTACCTGCGGGCATGAGTCAGGAGTAGCTGCTCTTCACAGAGCCGAGAGAAAGCCAGGGACGCCCCTAACATGATGGTCCGTGTTAAACAGCCTCCTTGATGTTGCCTCCCAGAGTGATGCCTGGTGCCTCCCACGGCATGGGCAGGACCCCCCCCCCCCCAGGTGAGAAGCAGTGTCCGCGGCGGCGGCGGCGGCGGCGTGGATTTCCAAACCTTCCAGCAGCGCACAGAGAATCCGTACCAGGCGGTCCATATCCACCTGTGAGAAGACTTACGGGGAGGGTCCCTTCCGGATGGTTGGAAATACTTGCAGGCAGGCCCGAAGGCCCTGGCTGCACCCATGTGGTCTGCGTTGGGGGTGGGGGGGTATCCCTGGTCATAGCTCCTGGGCTGGAAGCCTGAGTGACCATACCTGAAATACTGAGTTTACTGGGGGAAGTACGTTTTTCTAATACATACGAAAATACTTAGCGATTAAAGGTAATCCTTTGTACATTAGCAACAGGGTGTTTTACTCGTTCTGGGCAAACATTACCATTACCACGTCCTTTTTTTACCCTGATTTACATACAGATTCCCCCGATTCCCCCGCTCCCTGTGTTCCTACCTCATAACAGTATTTTCAGAAATTCCCTCTCACCTGATGATTTGCCTCTTCCAGACCCTCACCTTTGAGATGGTGGCCATGGCCTGGGGCTAGTTGTCTAACTTCCTGGAGCCTCTTTGGAGGGTCTGGACAGTAAAGTGGCGACAGTTATACCTCTTTTGCAGAGATCCGGTGGGATTAGAAGACCTGCACGGTAAAGTCCGGCAGGGCCTACGTGTGGTAGGAATTACATTATAACAGCTCCTCTGAACCCCCGGTGGCCTCTTGCTAGTTCAGATTCTGAACGTGAACCAAGCGAGAACAAGCCTGCCACAGTCCCCGCTAAAATGCGGCTGCCCTTTGGGGCCTGCCCTGGCCAAGCCAAGTGCTGTGCAGAGTTCTCTACCTGCATTCTCTCATCCTTAGGACCCCCTGGAGGCCGGCGCCATTAGGCTCATTTGTCACACTGAGGAAACAGGCTTGAGGCTAAGCAGTCTGCACACACGGCTGTGTTTGAGCAGCCCAGGCGGGGCTGACCCCCAGATTCTGGGGGCGGCATTCTGAGATTGCCCTGTCCCCTTACCTTCCAGCCCCAGGGTCTGGGCAGGTGTCTCCATCTGCCACGAGGTGGGGGGCTTCATACCACACCCCTTCTACTGATGTTTTCTCCCTTTCTCCGAAAGGCTCCACTTAGCAACACCTCCCGCTCAGTGGGTCAGATCGCATTGGCGCCTGACTCCCGCATCTGCATCTGCGTAGACAGTATGGCGTTACACAGGCCGGGTCCCGCCCACACCTCCCCAGGGCAAGCCTGGTTTGTACCGTCTCCCTCCCCATAATTCCTCACATCCGCCACGCACAGAATACAGCCTTCAATTTAAGGAGCCGTAACAGGGAAGCCACTGTCATGCTAAAGAAAACCGTTGAATTTAATCAGCAGTTTGTAGCAGCAGGGGAGGCAGCCGGGGCTGTTCTCGCGGCAGGTGTGGGCGCCGCGCGGTGGGGCGGCTCTTCTCCGCTCGCTTGGGTTTGGGGTTCATGGACATGCCGCTCCCCCAATTTAGGGATTACCCGCCCGGCCACAGCCCCTGTGCCTCCAGCCCCTTGTGGCTCTGGCAGCTCGTTCGCGGACGGGACGAGGAAGTCGCCCGAGTGCAGCCGCTACTCCCACACCTCCCACCCTGTGTGGGCTGACGTAGCAGTCACCGGGACATGGGGACAGCATGGCCCTTGGGTCTCTTCGCCAGAAGGTCTTCAGTTACCCCACAGGCCAGGGTTGTCTTCTGATAACTCCTACCTGCTGGAGTCTTACTACACTTGCTGGCATAATGCCCCGGTTTTTGACACTAAAAGAAAGAAATTAATGGTGTGACTTTCCGTAAATTCAGATCCCAAGAGAAAAATCCTAACCTGTCTAGGGAATCACAAGAGCTATTAGCTGCCTAACTACCTTTTTGATGTTGCACAAGTGGGGAGGGGAAGAGAGAGGGCGGGCAAATTCCAAGCCGTCTCCTCACTCAGTGCAGGGCTAGACGCAGGGCCTGAACCCACAAAGCCACGAGATCATGACCTGAGCCGAGACCAAGAGTCGGATGCTTAACCGACTGAGCCACCCAGGCACCTTTGATGGGTTCTATCTTAAATGAAGCTCCATTTCAGGCCCGAAAGACCCTGAGGTTCCAGCCAGTATCGCCCTCCTGGAGGACGGCTCTGGATGTGCAAAGGCCCGAAAGTCAAACATACGAGAAAGGCAAGGGCCCTGCTCCCTGCCCTCTGCTGAGGGAGCTTCTACAGCAGAGAGAAGCCAGCAGCACAGGACAGTCGGGGACCTGGTCAGCCCAGCTGGTGTGACTCTGGCTCGCAGGGTTGTGAGCTGGCACGCTAGGTGTAGAGATCACTTACAAATAAAATCCCCAAGACAAAACAAAAAGCACAGAACAACATAGAGTTTATCCGGAAGGAAGGTATGTCTGTTTTTCTTCTTGATAAATGGGGGAGGGTGGGGGAATCAAAGTGCTACATTCCCTTCCTTGAGGAACATTATATATCAACTCAGAATTGATAGGCAGCAAAGCAGCTGATGAAAGCTGTTTAACCTACTAGCTTTTAAAGAAAGTAAGTCTTGTCTGGCCAGAGAAGTAAGTTGGATGAGGTCGTGGAGACAGGGTAACATTGGGGTAACCAGTGCCCCCTCACTGCCCTCATTCACACCCCTAGACCCCAGTGTGGTGGTCTTACCTGACCCAAAGGGGTTACAAGGCTACTCCCCTTACTTCCCCCTCGCCCTCCACAGAGCAGTAGCCTGGTGGGTCCGCTGCTACTCACCCTGTAGCACAGGCCAGGCTCCAGCGTCCTGAGTCCCAGGTGGTAGGAAACCAGCTGCTCTGGGGGCCTCTGAGCAGGGAGAGGCAGGCCCCTCATCGGGGAAAGGGGCTGGCGAGGTCCCCAGGCACAAGCAGGAGGGGCTGAACCCCGTGGCCAGTTGACAAGCTGCTGATAAAGTCAGGAGAAAACACTGCAGACACGGTGACTTTACACTGAGAGCAGAGGCTCTGGCCTGGTGTTTAAATGCAAACCTGGGTTCAAGGTGCTTTATGATTACGGTTTTAATGGCCAGAAGCGTGCCTTCCGATGGGCCTTAGAAATGGGCTTGTGAATTGCAAACAGCGACTGAAGAGGCTTCCGGCCTTCCAGCCGAGATCCCACTTGGACGCAGCAGAGGGCGCCCTCCGTGCCCTGGCCCGCCTTTCCTCTTGCTGAGGGACGGGATGTGGGACCACTGATTGACGGGGCCTAAGCGCCCGCCCCCCGTTCCCACGGCCAGACTGAACTGGCCGTCCAACATTCAGCCGTCCTGACCAGGGGTCAGCAGAGGCTTTGCAGGCCGTCTGGGCTCCATTGCAGCCACTCAGGCACGAGACCGGCTATAGATGATGGGGACATGAGCAATAAAACTACGAGCACTGACATTGCCACGTGTTACAGCATATTCTGGGGTTGTTGGGTTCTTTTTCCCCCTACGATCTATCTTAGAAAATCATTGTCAAGTGCCAGGCTGTACAAAAACAGGCAGTGGTCAGATCTGGCCCCCAGGCTGTGGTTGGCTGACCTCTGGTGCAGGTGCGACCTTGGACCACAAGCCCGGAGCTGGGCCCCTTGTTCTTTCTCAAAGAGCCACACACACGTTGGGCTCCTGGCTAAGTTGGAAGAACGTGGGACTCTTGGTCTCAGGGTGGTGGGTTCGAACCCCACGGATTACTTACACACACATGGCCTCCACCTAAGGAGAATTCAGGGGCTGACAAGCAGAGCAGTCCTACCTGAAGCAGAGGTTACGGAGGTGGGAGGGGGTCTGGGCCGCGGCCTCTCCGGGGACTGGCGGGTACTTGGAGCAGATCGCGTGAGAGGGAGGGCAGCTGCGCGCGGTACCAGAGTAAGAGCTCTCCGGGGAACAGGTGCGGTAAAGGGAACGAAACACACCCCTGCCCCGTCCCTGCCTGCACACTCACCTTCGGGTAACTCTGGTTGAATAAAAGATTCGTCTTGGGACTGAGTGAAGTACAGAGAGAGAGAGAGACAGTTACAGCCTGGCTCCAGCCCCATCACCTGCTCATTAGCATGCCCCTCGCCAGACTACTGCAGATTTCCGGTTGCTGAGCCCTGCGGGGAAAGGAGCCCATGCCCCAGCCAGTGGGGAGGGGGAGAGGGAGAGAACTGCAGAGGGACGGGGTGGGTTTTAAAGGTTTCTGCTCATTTCTAGAACAGTTTGGGAAGAGCTATATGCCTGTGCCCCGCACAAATACATATGAACAGCCTAGGATAGAGGACAGTGCAGCCCTGAGCAGGGGGGTGGGGGTGGGGGCCGGTGCAGGGTGAGCTAGCAAGGAAACCACCCCGGGGTGGGGGGGGGCGTGCTCTCCAGACACTTCATTTCCCACCTTGGGCCAGTGAAGGTATGAAAGGACCCAGGAAGCGGGCCCTGTACTAGATGGGAGTTGCTAAGCTAAGTGTCATACTTACTGGGCAAATTGGCACTTGGGTCCCTCAGGGCAGAAGCCCACGAAGTAGTTAGCACACATTATCTTACGGACATGGCGGTGTTTGCACAGGGGACCTGCTGGGCAAAGAGCAGCCAGAAACACACACGATAGATCTCACCCGGAGGGTACGGCAGCCCTAGCTCTCCACTTAACAGGGCATATAAACCTGTCCTCTCCGGGCTGCCCAAAGCACCTGCTTCCTAGCCACGTGGCCGAGAGGGGAACGGCCACCTTGGAATGTGCTGGGGTGGGTGCCAGCTGGCCAGTCCTGAACAGTAGGGTCGGAAGTGTCCCTAACACACTGCATCTTGGAGGATTTGCGTGGCTGTAGACTGTCATTTGTCATCTTTACTTAGCTCCGGAAGCTACAGCTGAGGAAAGGCTAACCCCACCACAGTTTATTAATCGTCTCCTAAGATCTCCCCAAAGGCACACTGCCAAGGACTCAGAATGACGCGCCTGAAGACCAATGAAAAGAAAGAACGTGGTACTCAGAGCACAGGGACTCCGATGGGGGGACCCTGCCTCTTAATGGGCACGAGCAGCATGCTTAGGTGACAGCACACCCCCAGGGGGTAAAAGAAATAGAGAAGAGAATGCATGTGAACAGTCTCCTCTGGGCCAGACCCTATACCAAGGGCTTCCTATGAGGTCCTGTATCTGACCGGCTCGATTACCCTATAAGGGAGCCATTTTCCCCTTCCGTAAGTGAGGAGATGCATTCAGCGATTCGTTCAAGGTCACACAGCCGATATATTCTGAAGTGACTGGGATTTGAACCCACGTAAGCCCGCTGGGAGAAGCCACACCAGGCTGACTGTTACAGTATCACAGAGGGTTCTTTCCTTCAGAGCCAGCCTGGAGAGAACTGTGGAAAGGTCTCCCATTGGGATTTTAACCCAGGGACACACCCCACGGGGCCTTAGCAGGAACACGCATCCTTCCCCTGCTGGGGTCTCCCCCCCCACCCCCGCACCCCGATCGCCTAGCACTCCCTTTCCGTCAGGGCTCACCATCCTTGCAGAAGCCTTGATCATACCAAGGACAGTCCCAGGTCTTGAAAGCTGGCTTCAGGTGGAGGAAGGGACACTCCTTGTTGTTGCAATCACCTGAAAAGCCCAGCATTCCTTATGGCCATTTCCCCCCTTTCCCCAAAGTGGACTGACCACACCCCTTGCCTAAAAGCCACTTGCCTTCCTTCCGACAGCAGCAGCTTTTCAAAGACAGCAAGGATTTTCTAACCCTTCCCTCAATCTAAGAAGGATGCATCCCAGTACTACTTGCTAAGTAGGGCTTGGGTAGGAATAAACACATCTAGAAAAGTGGAGGCAGGGCCAGGTATCCAGAAGGAGGGACTGGAACAGAAGGCATTTGGAGGTCACCAGAGAGGAAGGAACGAAGGAGAGGCAGGGAGAGGAGAGCCAGGGCGAGCCCCTAAAGATCCAAGAAGACTCAGTGTGGATGCATTTCGATTAAAGCCCTCTGTTCTGCGTCTCCGTGACAGAGGCCTACAGTGCTTCTCGAATCAGGGCACAGTCCTTTCTGGTGGAGATGCCAAGAAGAGCCATGGACTGCTCCCAAGCTGGCACTGGCCTGATGCTAGATGCTACCCAGAGACCCGTGTAGTTGCACCATGTCTGTGCCACAGACCAAGACTCAGGTAGGTCCCCTGGAAGGAGCCAGCCTTGTGGGACAGACCACTTGAGAATTGTCGTAAGAACCCTCTTAGATTTCTCCCCAGAGGCCCAGGGGCTTTGAAGGAGCCATGAGGAGAATTTGGCTCATTTGTCACCTCATTTGCGTAGAGAATTGGCAAATGCTTCCGATCCCATGCTCCTTCAAAGTCTACAACTCGTTGCTTCTCAGAGCCAGAAGGAACTTCATGGTGTTCACCTCACTGGTTTTCAAACTGCTCCAGAGACCTACTTAAATGTCTTCTGCAAAGCAGGTTTCACCCGAAGAAGAGCACCGCTGATGCTGAAGAAGAGTCTGAAATCACCATTCCCTCCTGGCCTTCCCCATCTCACGAACGAGGACAGCAGTGCTCAGAGAGGGGAACTGCCGTGAGCAGCCCCGGGCAGAGTGCTGACGCTGGGCTCCCGCCTTCTGAGGAATGGAAGCGACATCCGTCCCCTAGGGCCGGTGAGCATTCGATCCAGGAGGCAGTGGAAAGTCACCTGTGCAATGCTGCCTTTCTGTCCTGGCCTGGATGCACCGCGCTGCATTCCTCTGGTGGCCAGCAGGTGGCACCCTCGCCTCACCCTCCAGCCCGCGTCTCCAGAGTCCCCGGTCCCTTTTAGAAGAGCCCAAAGAGCTGCATTGCCCAAACCCTGGGCCCCCTCGGCTGCCCCCTTCCCACTCCAACACCTCCCAACACAATGTTCTAAATAAAACAATTTACTTCCAATAAGAATGATAATTACTTTGGGGGCGCCTGGGTGGCTCAGTCGGTTAAGCGTCCGACTCTGGTTCAGGTCATGATCTCACGGTCCGTGAGTTTGAGCCCTGCGTCAGGCTCCGTGCTGACAGCTCAGAGCCTGGAGCCTGTCTTCGGATTCTGGGTCTCCCTCTCTCTCTGCCCCTCCCCGCTCACACTCTGTCTCTCAAAAATAAATATAAAAAACTTAAAAATTTAAAAAGCAATAATTAGGGGCACCTGGGTGGCTTAGTCGGTTAAGCGTCCGACTTTCACTTAGGTCATGATCTCACGGTTCGTGGGTTCGGGCCCCGCGTCGGGCTCTGTGCTGACTGCCAGCTCAGAGCCTGGAGCCTGTTTCAGTCTGTGACTCCCTCTCTCTCTGACCCTCCCCTGCTCACGCTGTCTCTCTCTCTCTCTCCTAGATATAAATAAAAAATAAATAAATAAATAAAAATAAAAAGCAATAATTACTTTGATATGATATTAGAGATACTCATTACTCCAAGAGCAGAAAGAGAGGTTACATACTATACTCAATGGTTTCCACGTACGCCCCTCACAATGAGAGCTTTTGAGGGCAGAAGGGAGCCTGGTCCTGTACCCATCCCCAGCACAGTGTCCGAGTCCCGAAAGAAAACCAATTTTATTGAAGGAATTAATAGGTGCCATTTTGCGGGGGCACCTGGGTACCTCAGTCGGTTAAGCTTCTGACTTCAGCTCAGATCATGCTCTTGTGGTTCATGAGTTTGCTGTCAGCACAGAGCCCAATTTGGATCCTCTGTCTCCCTCTCTCTCTACCCCTCCCCAACTTGCGTGCTTGCTCGCACACACTCTGTCTCAAAAATAAATAAAAATTATTTTTTAAAAAAAGTGGCATTTTTAAATGAAAGAGGTTTAGGTGGTGACCAAGGGGAGCCGGGCCGCAGGTAAACTTTGTCCTTCCCTTCCAAGAACACATGCGGGCAGCTGGCCCTCAAGTCCGAGCTGGCAGGACACGGAATTCTGGCCTGGGAGGGGCTCTTTGGGGACACTTCGCCTTCTTCCTGAATACCCGGGACCTCCCCCACCGCCAGCCCCCGCCACCGGCACTAAGGGCAGCTACCCACAGCTGCCTCAGTCAGAGATGTCCCTGGGGGCCGTGCCTCCTCTCTCCCTCGGCCACTCTTTTGGAACACAGTTTGGAAAGCCCTGGACTAGATAATCCTTAAGGCTCCTTCCAGCTCCAGAAAGCACCGAGCTGTAGAATTTTAAGGGAAGCTACTTTACGAGATCTGTAGCCCATTTGCTGATTCATTCTTTTTTTTTTCCGAAAACTATACTTTATTTGTGATGAAAATTGCTTAAAACATAGACTGTGCCAAAGATATTTTGGGAGGTCTAAAGGCCCTAAAGGCTTGGGTTGTATAAGGCCCACACTCACTGAACTCTCTATATTCTTTGTTTTTTTTTTTTTTTTTTACAAATAGTTTATTGTCAAATTCTTAAATGAGGTGGCAAGTGGCTACGGCTTCCCCCTGGGCAGCCCTGTGCGTGACAGAAGGATGTCTGGAGGCCAGGGGGACGGAGGACACTGGTCCCTACCCGACCACACAAGATAATTTTAGAGGCTGCGCTTCTGAACCTCATGACTGTAGGCTTACGGTTACCCTGCACTGCCAATAAGAGATGCTAGCTTTCCTTTCCGCTTAGAGAAACAATGCAAAGTTTTCTTCTAAAATAAGACTCTGTAATAGCAAGACAATTGAAAGAGGGGACAGGGATACAGGTCAACAGGACAGGTGCTTTCTGTGTTTGGCCGTGACCGTGACTTTCAAATGCCTGCTGTTTGGGAAACACTGGCCTGGACCCACCAGGGACAGAGATATGGCCCATTCCAGGCTTATTTCCGGACAGTCAGGCTGGGTCTGTGATTAGCCAGGACTGCAGAGGGAAACAATTCAGCCTTTGAGTTCAGCCACACCCCACCCCTCCCTGGGGAGGGCGACCAGCATGTGCCTGAGCCCGTGGGGCAGTGAGACAGGGATCCACTGTTCCTAGGGGGGTGCAACAGCAGGTGCTTGGGGCCCAGAGAGGCCTGGTCTGCCACCTGAGACATACACAGCCTCCTTTGGGCACCCGTCAAGACGTCATTCTGTCCCCCCAGTCCCCACTGCCAACACCCCCCCCCCCCCAAGGGTAAGGGCTGGAGCCAGGAAGGGGCGTTACCGAACTTGGAGTAGAAGTAGCACTCGGGCATCCGGGTGACATCGTACTGGTGCAAGAAGTTGCACTGGTCGCCCCTCTTACACAGTCCCCGCAGCCAGTGCTTACACACCACCATCTTCTCCCCTCGGCTGTGCCGGAGAGGGCAGAGTTTCCCTGGGAATATCGGAGCACCCAGCTGGGAGGCCCCCCCTCTGCCTGGGGCTCCCCAGGAGAGTGCTCCCCTCTCCTCCCCTGACCCCTGGCGGAGGCCACACGGAGGAAGGGCTGTCATCTTAGCACTATCGCACGTCTGCCCAAACGTTCCTCACTGCCCGGCCTTGCCCTTGCCTTTGCCCTTGCCCTTGCCCTTCTCAAACCCCGGGAAGCCCCAGCCAGGACCCTCACAGCTCCCCCCACCCCTCCTCCGGGCTCGGGGGGGGCTCCTACCAGAGAGCAGAGCTGGGGTTCCAGCCCAGGGCCCCCACCCAGCATGGCCCCTGGCACACATTGCTCATTAAGGACCTGTTAAAACCAAGTCTCAGAACTCCCCACAAAGGTTGTGTTGACCTAAGGGCCGGCTTTGTAGCAACTTGGAAGGAAGAAGAAATGTCCTATGTAACTCAGTTATCTTCTTAGGGGGGAGCTGCCGTCGGCAGAGGTGCCCCAGGGCCCACATCCCTCAGCAGGACCAGCCTCGTGCTTGGCCACCCACCCCTCTGATAGAATGTGAGGGGAGCTGGGAACAGGCTCTTTGTAAATAGTCCTGCCCTCCCCGGGCCTGGGACTTGCTTGGGTGTGACCTTCACCAGAGCACTTGGAGTTCTTTGCAAGAGGGTGTGTATGTGTAGACGGTCGCTGCCCCCGCCTCCCCCGGTTCATCTGCTCACCCACCTTTCTCACAGAGCCCTTTGGCGAAAAAGTTGCACACAGCTGAGCCGGACTCTAAAAGGGGAAGAAGGGAAGAGAGAAGGTAGCTTCCCAGAGGCTGCACCTGCCAGAGGGTCTTTTCCTCCTCGGGAAGCCCCCACCCACCCCCACCCGCAACCCTGAACCTCCTCAAAGCTCGGGCCTGGGGGCCAGGTCCCAGCTCTTTGGATGCTGGCCTCCAGCAATGGCCTCAAGACCTCAACACCGAAGCCCCCAACTCTGAAACACAGGTGCTGGCGGGGCCCGAGCCCGCTCAGGAGGCCGATGTGGACTTCCCTGGCTTCTTACAATTCCCTTTCTGTGTCTCTCTGCTTTCGCAGTCTGGAAAATGGGCTGCCTGGAAGTCAGCTCCATTTTCCTGGAATCCTGGAGAGGATGTAGGAGGGGAGGCTTCAGCCCCTGGGAAGGGAGGGGCTAAGCTGAGAATCACAGAAGGCAGGCCCCAGCCCCCCACTCGGTCCCCTTGGTGCGCAGCAGTGAAGGTGCTGCCGGTCAGGAGCCCTACACATCAGCACATAGTCCCCCAGAGGGCCGGCTGACACTTTGTCCTCACTCACTGTCCATGCCCTGGAAAGGCAGGAGTCCAGTGCCTTTTTGCCTCTCTACATCCTTCTCGAAGGTGAAGGTGAACTGGTCCAGCCCAGCAATGATCTCTTGCATCTTCCATCTCCTGCCGAGCTGCTAAAACCTGCTCAAGCCTTTGCAGGTGGACCCTATATAGCTCATTGGAGGCCCTTAAGGCAGCAGGGCCCGGTGCTGCCCCCCTCATCCCCGGGGGCCAGGGGCCAGGTGTCTTCTTACTCCCACCTGGTGCAGGTGCAGACGCCCCAGCCCCCCCCACCCCCGCGCGGTGTACCTAACATCCAGCTCACAAGGCGGGCCGCCCGGGGGCGGGGGGTATTAGCAGAGCCCCACGTCTGCCCCGCATAGGCGCAGATGTTACCAAACCTGCGCTCAGTCTTTCAACATGGAGACAAAGCCACAGGTTAGCCTTGAGACGAGTTGCACAAACCGGCCGCAGCAAGCCTGTTCTGATTCCCAGGAGCTTGGGGGCCAAAGGGTGAGGGGAGGCGGGGCAGGGGTGCGGAGGGAGGGGAAGGAGACCCCCGCCTCTCTCCAGCCTCCCCCCAATCAGGTCCCAGCCGACCCCTCCCTCTGGGACTCCTGACGTCCTTTTTCTGGCCTGAGTGACAAGCCCTGAGTGAGCCCTTCATGGGAGAGGGAAACAAGGAACGAAATCCAGAGGAATCGGAAATAGTTGGATGAATAGCGCTTTGTTTACGCGCACACAATCGCAGAGCTCGGCTGGGGGTGGAACCAACCAGAAGCCTCCCGGCCAGGATTCCGCGGGCCACCCCAGCGCCTCCCACCCGTGAGAAAGTGCTTTGTAAACGAAATCTCTATGCAAATGTTGTTTTATTATTATTACACCGCCCCTGCCCCCGGGGCTGGGGACATCTGCAAGCGCTTTCAAAGGAGCATTTGAGGGCTCTAACTAGGCCAGGCCTCCCCCTCCCCGCACGCCCTGGCCCCGAACGGGCCCCTTCCCTCCAACTGAGAGCTGATGTTTTCAGAGTCGTGCAGGAGCCCAAGAACCCGACGCCCGCCTTCCCGGACCGGGTGGGGAGAGGTGGGCAGCGCGCTGCAGGCCCTAGCTGGCCCCCATGGAGCCTGCTTGCTGGCTTTTGTTTTCCCGGGGCTGTCGCTCTGCTCCTCCTGGAGGTGTTGTTCTTTTGAACTCCGGATCAGCGAAGAAAATCGCTGGGGAGCAAGACACCTGGAGCCGAGGCGGGCCGGGGCCTCGAGGGGCGGGCAAGGGATCCAAGAATTTCCACAAGCCCGGGGCCTCCCTCCAGCTTCATTCCCAGGGAGGCTGGGGCACAGGGGCCCCTCCCCTGGGGCACGAACCCTGTTCCCCGGCCGTGATTAGTAGTCCCAAGAACACATTCATCTGTCAACACACCAACCCGGCAAGGCAGGCAGGCGGGCGGGCGGGCAGGCGGGCGGGCGGGCAGGCTGGCAAATGAGGACATCAAGACCCAGCGAGGCCAAGGGCACACGGTTGGGAAGGCGGTGACACAATTCAAATCCAGGTCTCCCGAAGACTTCTTTCTATAAACATCCACAGAGCGTCTATGTGCTGGGGACTGGGGCCCCGAAACAAAGTGGGGTATTCCTGACCTCGGGGACAGCCCAGTCAAGTGGGGAGGCACACGCTGGTCCTGGGGGGGTGATAATGGCTAACGAGGTGATAAATGGTAAGAGGGGGCGCTAAGAAGGGCAGGGAGGGGCTGCGAAGGAGCGTCTGGTGCCGATGGGAATGTTCCAGAAGGGAGGCCAGCCATATGAAGGCATGGGGCAGCGTGGCAGGTGGGGGGTGGTGCTCAGGGTTTACTTAGTCCTTCTGTTAGGGGGATGGGGAAGGGGTGGGGATGCCGAACTTGGCATTTGAAACTCGAGTGTCTTTTAGGGCTTGGTTTTCTATCATGAAGCCAGCGGAGCACCCCGGAAGGGCTGGTAGAGAGCAACACACGGCGCCCTGAAGAATAGATGGAGGAGGAAAGACAGGGCAGGCAGCTATTTAAGGGATGATAAAAATAATAATCAGAGCCCTGGAGAGGTCTCCAGGGCTGCTTCCCTGCACTCTGGTGGCCAGAAACGGTTCATTGGCGAGAGCCGGGCTTGGACGAGGCTCCAGTGCAGACTCCTCACCTCCCCCCCCCGCCCCAGAGGCCCCGCCTCCTTCGGTCGAGGCCCCGCCCACTCCCCGTGTGCCTGTCAGCCCAAGGGCAGGCCAAGGGCCGGCCCAGGACGCTGCCTCCATGAGTCCCCCACTCCCAGGGCACAGTCACTGAATTGGTCTAACAATGACAGCACCTGGCATTCGCGGCTTCTGCTTACCCCACATGCCTTCTGGGGTGGGTTGGTCTCCCCCAAAGAGGGAGACCCAGTCCTAACCCCTGGTACCCGTGAAGGGGACCTGATTAGGAAATTGGATCTCTGCACGTGTAACTGAGGATCTCAAGGAGATCATCCTGGAATTGGTGTGAGCCCCAAACTCAATGGCGGGGGTCCTTACGAGAGGAGAGTTTGGGACACGCAGAGACGGAAGTCTTAGGACACAGAGAGGGAGTCTCGTATGAAGATGGAGGAGGGGACGGGATTCTGGCGGCTGTCACCGAGCACCCAGGGGGGCCTGCCACCACCCTCCCCACCCCCCGCCCAGACCCCAATGGAGGCGGGACTGGTTTTCTGGCAGGAGCCCGCCCTGCCCCCACCGCCCTCTCGGACCTGCGGCCACCGCCATGGGAGCACATATCTGTTGTCTTAAGCCGCAGGCTCTGTGATAATTTGTTAGGCAGCCGCAGCAAAGTAATACATCCGCCTGCTTGGAAATTCAGTTTCAGGAGACCTCACCCGTTTTACAGATGAGCAAATAAACGCACAGGGAAGTGCTTGACTGCCAAGGTCTCACAGCTAATTGGTGTCAACTGGGGGGCGGGTCTGGGTTTCCCAACTCCTAAGTCCTTTCCTGCTCTTCTGGTCACTCAAACCGGCGGGGGGGGAGGGGGCTGCCCCCATGTATACTACCACCCCAAGGCTTCCCAGGTGCACCAGCATCCCCACTGTGCAGACATAAAGCAAGGCCCAGGCCAGAGAAAGGGCCGGAGTGGGGAGCCCGGTGCCCCCTCTGGAACCTTCACAGCCCTCGCTCTGTGCCCCGGAGCCTATCCTCAGCACTTGTGTTTTCATCGATTAATGAATTCATGGCTGCAAAGTGGACACCCAAATCACTCTGCAAACAGTGCTGTTAATTTTTAATCACCATCATTATGAGGCGCCTATTTAACTCCGGCTGCAGATTTCCTGAATCATCATCCCCTGCCCCTTTCCCTCTGTAAATGCGCTGTTCTGAAAAGCAGATGTGTGGGGGAGCTCTAGAACTCTCTGACTGTCAGGAACTAGGGGAGGTCCTCCAGCCCGTCCTCCACCCCCTCTGACCTTGGATCATTTGAAGCCAGTGCTTTTCTGGGCCCAAGTGTGGCCAGGCCCTCCTCCCTGGTGTCTGTGCATCTATCTGCCTCCCTCCCACCTGGGGCATGCTGCGTTCATGCAAAGGGTAAAGACTGTGGCATTGGCCAGGCCAGGTTCACATCTGGGCTCCGCTGGGCCCCAGCCCGTGATCCTGGGCCAGTCTTTGAATCACTTCTCTGAGCCCTAGATTCTGTGTCAGGGGAATGATACCCACAGGGTGACCGTACCTGGGGTGCTGTGTGAGTACACATGGGCACGTGGGTGGCTGACATCAGGGAGTAGTTGGGTCGGAGTCGTCCCTCCTAGAAAGTATGTGCCGTAAGGAGTGAGGAATGGTGTCCTGCCCCAGATCCAAGGTGCCACCCTCTTCAAGCTTACTGTTCCTAAGGATCCCTGATAAAAGGCGCTGTGGGAGACGGCGGGCTCCTTGCTGTTCAGCCGCTGGAGGGCCCGCTCGAAGTCCAGCAGACATGGGCCCGGTGGCTGAATAACCATGGTGCTGGGATGGAGTGGAGGTCAGAGGACTCCCCGGGGACCCACAGCTGCTGCTGTTCGCTCAGCCCCAAGGACAACGGGCCAGTGTGCCCTGACCTCTCCATTGCTCTGTGTGCCCCAGAGATGCCACTTGGCAGAGACAGCTGTTGGCCTCACAATAGCCACTTGGAGTGCAGGGCAGGGAGGTCCAGCAGCTGGGATGGGCCTGCGCTGTCTTTGTCCAGAGCTGAGCCTGTCTAGGAACTCTACTCTGGGAAAGGCGCCTGTCTCCCCAGGGGCGCGGGCACAGTGATGGCACTAATGGCACTAATGAGCCGTCCCACACGTCTCATCTGGGCCTCCTCCTGTCCTGACTTGCAACTGTTCAAGTTGCTTGTACCCATTTTGCAGACAAAGAAACCACGGCTGAGAGGTGAGAGGACTGCCTTACTAGTAGATGTCGGAATGGGGACGTGGACTCCCAGGCTTCGTGACCAGTTCCTAGGACTTAGCCAACTGAGGTGCACTTTGTACACCATATTCTAATTCCCACAAAACCCCAGAAAGAGAACCATTATTATTTCTCTTCCACAGTTAGGAAGCCTGAGGCTCAAAGGCGTAGATTAGATGAGCTTCCCGAAGACCAGAGGCTCCGTCTGCAGGAGCCTGACCCCTGAGACCCATGCTCGGCCACAGAGTGGGTGTGTGGGCTGCACTTTCCATCTGAGAGTCAAGGAGGCAGGACCCCGTGGGGCCCAGGGGGTTCCCAATGGCTTTCTTCACCCACTGTCACTGCCTCCTTGAGTCTCAGTCCTCGGGTCATCCTCTCTTCTGTGCCCAGAGCCCTTCTAGGGGGAGCAGAGGCTGCTGGGAGCCTCCTGGGGCTCCTATGCCCCGTCGCCGGCAGCTCTGCAGGTGGGGGGTGGATGCCACAGGCCCAGGCCACCAGCAAAAATGGGCTCGCAGGAGAGGCATGTGGGGCCACTCAGGTTACACTCATTTCTTCTTCCTTATCCACCGCCTTCCCAGCGTTCCTCGTTGGTTCTGCCCCCAGCCAGCCTCTAGGGAGCTATTCTTTCATCCATCCATTCAGCTCTCACTCAAAAATATTGTTGAACTTCCATTCATGCTAAAGGATACAGAACGAACAA